AAATGTTAGTAAATATTCAAAAAAAGTTTTCTGGGTTCAAATCAGGATACTTAATTACTTTACTACTAATTACTTTAAAGGAGAAATGCCTTTATTATCTGCCTCCCTACCACACATTTCAACTCAATCAGTTCAGTATTTTGTGTGTGCGAGAGCACAAGAAAGTACACAAACCCACAAACTTTAAGATTTATAATATTTTAAGTGTTTAGTCCAGTTACATAATCCAAATGTGGCAACAATTCCATATAATAATTCCAGTTATTGTCAAAAACTCATTTATACCGGTACATGAGCATTTATGGAATTTTATTATTCCATATATGAGCAATAATTTGTTACCTGGGAGTCATATATGGCCGTATATAGACAGTAATTCCATATATTGAAGATATATATGACCATATATGGGCAATAATTTCATATATAGGAGATATGTATGGCCAATAACTCCATATATAGGCTACATATATGGCTATATATGGACACCGCCATATATGGATACAACCATATATGGTCATCAAAAACCATATATGGCTTTATAAAAACATATATGGAGTTTTGATATGGCCATATATGGCCAGAAATTACTTTTTTATAAGGGATAGTTAATATAGATGATAAAATATATGTTAAAAATATTATAAGTACTAACTAACTTACTACTATACTAACTTATTACTACTAACTTAGTGCAAAAAGTAGGGTTGTGCTCTCACTCTTTCTCTTTTGTATTTTACTCGGAACAAAAGCTATTTATGTGCTCAAACTTTCCAAAATAAAGCATAAGCTCATGCTGCTCATTGACCGGTCTTTTATTGATGTTAATTTTGTTGCAAATCCTACTAATATTATAAATGAGAAAGTTTGGATGTATGGATGTATGGATGTATGTTTGTGACAAGTAAACGCATTAACCACTGGACGGATTTTGCTGAAATTTGGCATGATGACAGCTCACATTCCCGATTAACATATAGGCATATTCTTATCTCAAAAATCCTTTCGGGCTCCGCCCCAGTGGCTCTATAATTCCCCATGTTAACCTTATGAGTATTCATATTAAAAGGGAATTAAAGAATTTAGTCAGCTGTTTCAACTAAAAAGTTGGTTCTATGATATGCAAAAGCATTAAAAACTTACAAGGATTACCAACAGGGTGCAGCACTATTATTTTTTTTTTTTTATGACAACAGCTAATTTGCAAACAAAAGGTGAGTGAGCGTAGCGAACGAACTTCAACCAGGACGTGATTGAGCCATGCGAACGAGCTCACTTCGCATGGCTCAATCACGTCCTGGTTCAAGTTCGTTCGCTTCGCTCCCTCTGGAGCTCGTTCGCTGCGCTCACTTGCCTTCAGGTTAGCTCGTTCGCTACGCTAACTCGCCTCCAGGTTGAAGTTCATTCGCTACGCTCACTCAGCTGTACCCGCGGGCTTTGCCCCGTTTTACTTCATAAGTGACCCGCGGGCTTTGCCCCGTTTTACTTCATAAGTGAGCTCGTTCGCATGGCTCAATCACGTCCTGGTTGAAGTTCGTTCGCTTCGCTCCCTCTGGAGCTCGTTCGCTGCGCTCACTTGCCTTCAGGTTAGCTCGTTCGCTACGCTAACTCGCCTCCAGGTTGAAGTTCATTCGCTACGCTCACTCAGCTGTACCCGCGGGCTTTGCCCCGTTTTACTTCATAAGTGAGCTCGTTCGCATGGCTCAATCACGTCCTGGTTCAAGTTACTTCGCTTCGCTCCCTCTGGAGCTCGTTCGCTGCGCTCACTTGCCTTCAGGTTAGCTCGTTCGCTACGCTAACTCGCCTCCAGGTTGAAGTTCATTCGCTACGCTCACTCAGCTGTACCCGCGGGCTTTGCCCCGTTTTACTTCATAAGTGAGCTCGTTCGCATGGCTCAATCACGTCCTGGTTGAAGTTCGTTCGCTACGCTCACTCACCTTTTGTTTGCAAATTAGCTGTTGTCATAAAAAATAATAGTGCTGCACCCTGTTGGTAATCCTTGTAAGTTTTTAATGCTTTTGCATATCATAGAACCAACTTTTTAGTTGAAACAGCTGACTAAATTCTTTAATTCCCTTTTAATATGAATACTCATAAGGTTAACATGGGGAATTATAGAGCCACTGGGGCGGAGCCCGAAAGGATTTTTGAGATAAGAATATGCCTATATGTTAATCGGGAATGTGAGCTGTCATCATGCCAAATTTCAGCAAAATCCGTCCAGTGGTTAATGCGTTTACTTGTCACAAACATACATCCATACATCCATACATCCATACATCCAAACTTTCTCATTTATAATATTAGTAGGATTTGCAATCTAACTATTTACAGCCAAAAAGTATATAGAGACTTAATATTCTTTTGTTTAAAATATCACTTGAACTTGTTTATCTCAACTGTCCCTATACTTTTTATACTAAATTACCAGAGACCTACTAACCTCTACTCTATACCACTCAATTGATTGAATATTATTAATTGAGAGTATGTTGACCAAAGACCCTAATGATTTTTCTAAAATATTTATAGAAAGCAAAAATAAACTTGTAAGTAAAACTTACTTGTGTTTGTACTTTCACCACAATCCATGTACCTGAGATACATACTTACATCATTTATAGCTTTACTTTTAAACCGTATTGAATATGGGGCTGGGGAATACTGATATTAATTGAATTAAATATTAAACTGTTTTGGATCTTAATACTTAAGAGTTAATTATTCAGCTGGGTAACATAAGAAGACAGTTTAAAGGACAGTATTTATTCAATAAAAATTGGAGCTTTTAAAGCGACATAACACTAATGCAATACTAGAGGTTACAAAACAATCTTTGCAACCCAAATTTAACAGAGTTATGACCAACAATTTATTTAAAACACAATTGTTAAAATATGTCAAACAAATCCGTAAATTTATATTTTATAAGTGTGTAAGTATATCAACAATTTAATAGACAGTCGGTCGATAACGTAATATATATTCTTATAAGTAACACAAACAATGGTTTTACTTTGTGGTATCTCGAGTAATTTACACATTGTGAACATTTTATGCTCTTTAACATAAAGGAACATGTTTTAAATTATCAGTAACATCTATGTCGCAGTATAAAATCTAACACTTTATATCTAAAAACAAGTTAATGTACATATCCACCCATGAGCTGCGTTTTGCAATACTAGTTATATTTGTACCATGCATTACAAATCCTTATTTTAGAAAATCAACTTTAATTGAAATGATTGCCTTAATGTGATTATACAATATTCACCTTTCTGTGTAAGGTCGCTAATACATTTAAAGGTGTTAGATAAAAAAAATAATGAAAATATAGTCAAGGGTAATTATTTGTTACTCATACTTTTAAGTTTTGAATTTTTATTCGTATTTATATGAAAACTGTATGGTTATTCTTCCAACATGTTAATTATTTGTTGACAATTTAGGAAATTATGATCAATTAATTGTGAAATCCATATTATTTGATTGGAAGGTACCAATGGGATAAAAGTACCGAGAACAAAACAATTTCATATGTTTCACTGTAGTTTTCCCCACAGGAAACAAATCTTAGCGGATTAGATGTAGTTGGTATTATGAATTTGTAATCTAAAAATATTATTATTTCAGGTATTTTTTGATAGAGTATTTTTTTGCCTTTAGTACACTTGGCAACATATGGACCGATGCTAATTTGAATATACGTCTTTTTAGGGCTGTAACTAATCGTAGGGAATTACTTTGGTTCTTACAATATGTGCAATAAGTGTAATGAAAACATAAATGTAACAGTTTTAATTGAAAGTTAGTTAAAGCTCGTTTCTTGTCTGCATGCACTAGCTAGTATACAAGAGATGTCCTACATAACAATCTGAGTTGAAGATGAGTGATTGAGAATGGTTCTAAATACACAGATTTTTTGAAGGAGCTTGAAAAATGTTCACAAATATGCTGGTTGTAAAGTTTATGATGGATAAATATAACAACCGAGACAAAACCTTCGATGACTAGAATTATTTAAACATTACTTTCAACCAAATTGAAACCTTAAACGAATTTGTTTTCGGATAAAACACTAAAGTAACTATGGGCTGCAATACATCTTTTGGTACAAAAGGGAAATTTGATTTTGAATTCTGAAATTGGCCCGAGGTGTTGAAACACCAGTATAAGTTCAAAGTACAATAATTATTGAAAGTGGACAATGCTTAGCTATGACGGTCGAAGCTGTTCTACTAATAAATCAATTCAGTAAATAAATATTACTATCGACAATGATTTTTATATATCTCTTAAAGTAATATATTAGCTATCGATTGGATTTTAGATAAAGTTTGACATGATAAGAATGGATACATTCAGTCGTGTATCAAGTAATAAAGTCTGGAATCACCTGGCCCAACAATCACAACACAACCCTGTGTCCTCTTCACGACTACACAATACACACTGGCGAGAAACCTGATAATCTGTCAAGTTCACAGTAAACACCAGCCTTGACAAAAACAACAGTAATTTAAAATCTTGGTTTCTAAGCTTTACTACTTTGAAATTATAAATTTATGTTTTAATGCTACGTTTCAATTACAGGTATTATTATTGATAAGTTTCCTAATCAATTTTCATACACACAAATTTGTTGGGAAAGAAACTAAATGTTTTTGGTGTTTGGTGTGTTAAATGACTGATTGAAGTGTCGAAGTGGCGATTTAATGTTTATTCTTGTAATATTTGTACTTTTTCTTGTTATTCTTCTATTTCCAGAAGTTATGTAAAGTAATTTTTTACTTATATACAAGTGTGAATTTATAGTAAATGACAGCTGAACAAATTTGACTTCATTTTACAGTTTGCATTAGGATTAGTATTCAATTACTAAGTAAAGTAATGCTTCTGATAAAGGTAATACGGTATTACTTGTTACCTTTGTAATGTTTATATAATATATACTGGTAACTTAAAAGGATTTTTCTGATTTCAAAATTTAAACAGTTATATTTTTTGAAGTGCCTCAACAGATTATAAATTTAAGTGATTTATTTATACCAGTAAAACCATTAAAGTAAAGTAGATATTTATAATTATATCGGTTTAAAATTTTAAAATATTTTGCTGATTTGTTTACTGTTCATTAAATAAATTTGTTTCAAGAACACAATTATTTAGGCTTAGTTAATAAGATTTTAATTTTATTTCCAGTACCAAAAGAGACAAAGCAAGAATGACAAAAATAATAAAGAAGGGAACTAGTTTAAAATGAAGAATATTTAGAGTTCTATCAATAATTCTGAATACATTGAAAAATAATCAAACTAGCCTATCTAATTTCACCATTTATGGAAACAACATATTGAAATCGGATGTACAATGTATAAATATACAAAATTCGTAATATATCATTTTACCTTAAAACAACTAGCAATATTTACACAAACATCATAAATCGTAAGCCACAAAAAGTGAAATTCAAACGAATCGCTAAATAATATTTCTCAGAGAATAGGTCCCAGTAGTAAAAAAAACTTGAATCAAACCTTTTTAGTACAAGCAGTGTGCGAATAACTAAGGCGGGTAATGGAGTACTGTTGTTGGACCAGGGATAATATACAATATACATACGTTGGTTCCGGTCCCTCTTAACAATATAGAGGGAACATCATAGCTTTGTACACGGGACTAGGAGCTTCAGTCACGCACACATTCACTCAACGCTCAGTGAGAAAACAACCACAATAATACGGTAATATTACTGTCGGAATAGTAATATTCAATGATATCTCTTAATGTATAAGGCAGTCTTCACAAAAATGTATAGATGCTATTTACAATATTTGAAACAATGATTGAAATTAGTTCATGCTGGTTTAGAATTTTTCATTCCTCACAAAATAACATTTTCTGCATAACTTTAAAATATTTTAGCGCAAATCTCGGATGAAGATCTAAATTTATTGAGGTTAGATTTTAGCAATAAATCAAGCAGGTTGTCTTTGTATGGTTGATTTGAATGGGAAATAATTACCTAGTTTAGGTATGAAATTACTATACCTTCAGATGTGGCTTTCACCTCAGAAAAATATTTTGCATCTGTACAAAAAAGTTTGAAAAATATTAGCATCAGAAAAAATAATAGGTCAGAAGTTGAACAGTGGAATGGTATGCGTCTGAGTAAAGCTACCGAAATTGAACATGAACTTGACAAACTTTTCATGATGCTTTAACCAAAAGGTGAAGAATGTTTTAACTTATTAATATCCATAAAATAAATGCATTATATTATAATGCAAATGAAATTGCCTCAACAAAACATGAGTTATGTGATGGATGGAACTTATCAACAATAAACTTAACGCTATTAGGATTATTTAAACCTATCAGATTCATAAAATAAAATGTTGAGCTTTTTGTGTGGTGACAATAATCTTAATAGAATATGAATAAGGATAACAATGTTATAATGAATTGCTATGTTTGCCCATAAACACAATTTCATGATGTTGACCTTGGAAAATCAGACGTAAAGGATGATTTGAATAATTTACTATTAATTTTCAGTTAAAACTGTTATAAAAGTAAGTAATGTCTCTTAATACCAACCTCAGTTGTAATTTATGTAACCAAGTGTACTGATAGTCCCCCATATAGAGTTTTGGCAATTTTGAACATAAAAATATAACGTTTTTCAAAAACCATTCAAAAAGACTACAAGAATTTCTTGAATGATTTGAAGGAAGTATGATTCGTGTGTATGAGCATCATTTCACATGCTAAGCACGGGGGTCAACCTAATCTTTAAATCTCTAGCATTCGATGGTTTAGTATAAAAGGGTGTAATGCTGTTTCCACTCCTTTGACAAAAGAAACAAAATTAAACAAACAAACACAAAACTCACAAACAGTAATAAGGCATCTTTGTTTCGAGTTTATATAATAATGAAATATTGTTAACGATTGGGAAGTCGATCCCATCGACCGAGCAACAGGATATCGATAATATAATTTATTAGCAAACACTAGGAGTTTATATACCTAAGAAAACAGCGATAACATACCCCTTTAAAATCAGACATTCCACGCAAAAGACGAGTAGAAAACACGGGTGCCACAGCGACCTATACACGAAATTAAAAAATCCAGTTTTCGTACAAAATTAAAATACGCCGAATGTACAACACACTATCGCACACACGCACACTACAGCTAGAGTCGACTAATTCCGGCACGGTCCTCGGCTGGACTGAGCACCAATTCAAAAGTGTCCGCATTACATCGACGAGTAATGTCGTATCTAGTGTTATCACAGAAAACGAAACGAAACAACCCAATCACTTTGTAAAGCACTTGAGGGGAAGTGAGAGACATAACGGCAGTATAGAGCTGTCAGCTAGCAGCAGTTCTCGGACCACCGTCTCGATGAGGCCAGCACGTACGAGATGCGAATGAGAGAGGTCGCGGTATTTACAAAGCGGTCGAAAGACGGCGGACCGAGCGGGCTCGGTTAGAGAGTGTAACGTCCCTGTGAGCTGCTGCTACCTGTCAGCAAAGGCTAGCACCAGTCGTCATCGTCAGAGTCACTGTGTCGCTCACAATCCAAGGGCAGAGGCGGAGGCTTGTAGCCGTTTGGAACAGGAGACGGCAGCATACGGCCTCCCCGACCTATCGCTACTGCCTGCTCAAAGCTGAGCGGGACCGCGTAGTGGGGGGGCACGTGTGTGGGGGATGGGTTCAGCTTGGGAAAGTTGATGTTGGCGGGGCGCAGCTGCAGAGTGGAGGGTTTGCTGGGGGTTGGCGGTAGACGACGCCCCTGTCCTCTACGTGCCACCAGCACGGGGTAGCTGTGCTGTGTACGTTGGGCCCTGGGGGAGGGTGAGCGTGACCTCTGCTCCAGTGACGTGGTGCCGTACCCGTGACGAGACACAGCGTGACTGTGACCGTGGTGGCCCGGACTGGGCGACCGCGCAGGACTAGTTGAGGCTGACCACGATCCTGTAACAACACAAATCACATGCTCCGTCACATCCTTATACAAATTGATTCTTTCATACATCTGCTTAGTGTTTCCGTAAAAATAACTGTAGAGATTAATTATTAAGTGTGTGATATAGGTATATATATTTATATCTAGGGGAAGCTTAGAGTTAAAATTGGCCAAACTCAGTCCTTTAATGATTTAATTCAGTTAAAAACGACCTTAATTTCTCAGGTTGAAAAGGTAACTACTACGACTATTAATTACAACTATATTTCTGGCTGGAGTAAATTAAAATATTATTACAATAGTTATTCATGTTTTTACAACATCAAAGTTCAACACCATTATGTGTAGAATAAGCAATCTGTGGATATTTTAACTTAACCTGTGGTTAAGTTAAAATAACACTGTGATCTATGTTGACCAACCTATTTAAAAAGGTATTATGTTTTTAAAGCTAAACTTTTTCCTTTAAAAAAAATTATACAGTGATACAAAAACAGAATAGGAAAGATAAGAACAGGGGAGATAGATGAAAAATTAACTTAATTTGCACATGCATATGAAAACAAAACTGTTCAAAAATGTTGAATTGAAAAATAAAATGTTTGCATCAGCAAGTAAGAATAAAGCTAAAATAGTAGACTAATGTGTCTTAACAATAAGAAAAAAATATTAAATTATTCTTTGATATAAAATTAAAGTCACACAATGTACCAGTTTGATTTCGATATTTCAAACATTAATGAAATTTTGTCAATACAATGAAAGATTTATAGTTAACTAGAAAAGATTATTTATATTTATAAAAATTCATCCTAAGTATTTTTTTAATAGAAGACATTTAACTACTGAAAAACCGTAATACCGTTATTTTACAAATTGTCTTCATTATCTTCACAATGTATAGATTAATTAAATTTAAAATGTTAACTTTGCATAGTTAATCTCGAGCAAATTCAATACTTTTTACAGTAGTTGAATATAGACCAGTTTACCAATAAAAGTCGCACAGGGTGAATATTGGAAGGGAGTATTTATTAACTACGAAAACATAAAGCTATAGTAATAGAAAAAAACTATTTGCTTTTTTTAACTATTGATGAAAAATCTGGTAAAAGTATTTGTGAAAATAAACCACAAGCAGAACACCAATAATGGATATAAAATAAGTTTTGTAATAGCACACAAAACACATAAAATACACCAAACATTCCCATTAGGATTAAAGGGATTTATGAAAGAAAGAAGAGATAAATTACAACATCTATTAATAAATGTTGTATAGGTACTTTATCATACCATCTTCGTCAGAATACTCTGTTGCAAAAAGCAAAATTGGGTAATTAGAGAAGGGTTTGAGTCTCTGCCAAAATTAATAGGTTGAAACTCACACCTTTGTTTACTGATTAATCTGATTTAATTAACAACAATTTAAAAAATTCACCGATTGGCTAATACAGTGAGTAACAAATAAATGTCAAATGCGTAACACAACGTACTTTAATTGTAATCACTTATGTTGTTGTATCACATAATTGCTGCATGACCAATTACTCAGCTAAAATTAAACATTTTGTGTATAAAAAAATTGGATTTAGTAAAATAACTTAATTGAATTTATAGTTAACATCTACGTTAGTATGGCTACTTCATTGAACAATGGAAAAATTTTAAAATTAAATCGGCAAATATTTTAGGGGAAAAAAATTTCAACTAGAAGAAGAAAAGGGTATTTATTTCGAACTAAGAAATTACTCCTAAAATCGTTATAAATACATTGTTAGTCTTTTAATTTTAGAGAAGTATTTAATTTTTAATTCATCTTTTTGAATTTAAGCAGGAAGAACTACACTTCTGTGTCAAAATATACTCTACCTAGTTTCAAACTGCTAAAATTTTTAGTGTAGAGTACTAACATAGATAAAACATACTTTCTTATCATATTTCTCATCTTTATAGATCAGCTGAAGACAATTTTGTTAGTTCCGTCCGGTGCACTTTAGGAGTCATGTTTTGTTTACACTTAGTTTCTTGTTATTTCAGTCATCCAAAGCACCGTTTAACAAAAATAAAACTATCAAATCATAAAAATAGCTCGTCCCCTAGTTATAAAACCAAACAGTAAACCACATAGCATGAAAATAGCCCTAAAAAATAGAAAAAAATGTCCTTGATACTACCAATCAGAGTCACCGGACAAGAACTAGACACGAAAAAGAGGTTCAAAATTTACAATGGGATTAGAAGCCTACTTGTGTTGGTTAGTCTATGGTACTAACTTGGCACAATCTCATTTTCAAGCAATTGCATTAACTATCCCTAACTGGTTTCACAACATGATACATAATAAAGATGGCCAGTTCCAAGAGTTTTAAGTCTGAAACTCTTTTAGTGTTAAAAGATGGTTTCAAGGATAATTTTAGAGGTAAAAATAAATTCTAGCTTTTATTACTTTATTTTGCATAAGTTTTTAAAAGCGTATTTGATTTTCAACCCTGTTTACATAATCGTTTCAGTGTTGAGATTGTTTTCATTTTTAATTTATTAAAAATATAAAAAATTATTGACAAATTTCATTAAATTTGTGATATGAACATTCTTGTTCTAATTTAGTTTTTTATGCTGTTTCAAACAGTAGGTGTAGATTTGCTTCTAAAGTCCAACCAATTGACTCTATAATTTAAGTGAAAACATTACGCATTTTGTTAATTTTTTTTTGCTCAATATAAAAAAAAAGTAACTCGAACAAAACATTTGACTGACCTCTGATATAAGGATGCCGCCGAATGTGGGAGTGTTCGTTTTTCACTATCTCCACGACGTTAGACACAGTATCGCTGAAGCCTATGTCGTGGTGGGGATGACCATGGGGGTGGTGGTAGGGGTGCCCGTGGTAGCCGTGGCCGTGGTGACTGTTGGGATGCATTCTGCGAGGCGACGGACTACGGGCAATGTCCGATGGGTCGTGAGGCCCTCTTCTCCTATCAGGAGAATGTTATGAATAGTAATTTGTTCAGTCTTCAAACAATACAGTATTGTAATTGACATCATCATCAATATTGTACAAAGATATACGCTGCAATACTTATCTACGAATGGCAGTGGGTCTTACTTAAAAAGACTATTGGTTATCACAGGTATAATGAACTGAACAAAATAAACTTTAACACGTTCGCTACTGCAATAGTACGAAATTTTCCATTCACATGGACCAGCAACGCACATATGCGACGGCCGGTTTCCACTCATAGATTGTCGTCGCATATATGCGACGGCTAGTCACATTAAAATAGACTGCCGTCGCATATTTGCGTCGGGGTTCTAATGTTATTAAAATGCTTATATCTTTGTAACGGTCTATTTGAAGGCACTGAATTCCCTGCAGTGGTCTACAGAGATGTCTGACGCACAACTGCGTCGCTCGGTCTGTGGATGTGATGATTGGTCACGTCATAATGATAGTTGAAAAAACTGGTCTTTACTTTTCTGCATTACTGTATGTTTGTATGCAGTATGTATGCTGCATTATCCTATGTAGCTTTTATATTGGTTCAGTTATAAACTGTTCTTGAATAATCTGTTTTGTTTACTTACTTTCACCTCAAAACACAAACAAAAATGGACTGTCGCATATATGCGACGTTTGGTCTATTTCAAGAAAACTATTATTATTTTCACTATTGTCTTCGCTGTAGACCGGGCGTCGCAAATATGCGACATTACAAAAGGTTATACAAAATACAAAAAAACAAGAATAAATTATTTACAAACACGATTGTAGCGTATTATAATGTAAATGATCGCTGTTTTACAGGTTTTCACCCGTGGTCTGTGTGTACTGTTATCCAAGTGACAGCCGGTCTGTGTGTAAGATTCAAATGTATACCTCGGTCTGTGGCAATAACCGTGGCGTCGCATATATGCGACGCTCAGTAGCGAACGTGTTAACAAGAAAACTGAACAAGAATAGGCGTGACAATGAATATTGAGAGGGATAAAATAAAAATATATAATTCCTATTGTTAAATCACAGATATATATGGTAACAAACATATCAATATCAGTGAGCATTAAAGGTAAGAAAATTATTTACAGTATTGTTTGTATTATGTAAGTCTCGGTGGAAATGTTCTGTAAGGACCCAACCTTGAACCCACAGTGCTCAGCTAAGCTTTTTAAATTAAACTTAGCCAACGATTTGGTGTGAACAGAATTGAGATAAGCAAATATTAGGCAAAGCCGCCGACTTGAACTGAGAGTAAATGCAAAAAAGCAATCAGTTTTAAGCAATTTTTAGGGGTTAGGCTTTTTGTTAACCACTTTAATTCTGATGCATCATAAAAGCTCATTCAATATTACATGTACATGTTAGTAGTATATTTCATAGTTTATACTACACAACAAAATATAATGTTTCCAATTGCCATACAATAACAATGCAAGACTAATTTTGCTAAAAAATATATAAATAATAAGCTATCATCATGAAACTAGCCTGAAATAAACCTAGAAATGTAGTCCTGAGTAGTAATGAGTAATGCGTTAGTTTTGTCAACATTAAATGCAAAAAAACCATAGCAATCAAAATATAAAATAATAAGGTAAGCTTACCCATCTTGCATCAGGAATCAAAAATAATCCTACATAAATACAAAGATTTAAGGAAAACAATCAACCATAAAAATTATAATGAAATCATATGAGTACAAATGAACTGAAATTGTTACTTTGATATTATTTATCACTGTGCATTTATTACCAACCTATATTAAACCACCAATAGATAATGTGATAATTAAATCTTTTTACCATAACTCAAAGGTTGAAATATTAAAATAACCAAATTAGTTGTCTAACAACAGAAATTTAAAATAAAAAAACAACTACAAAGGTAAAACCTGCTAAACTAGAAATGTTTGCAACTGTTTCTCAAAAATAACAAAGCTAATACAAAAATAACTAACACAAAACAAAGAAACATCAATAAGTTCATACTAACCAAGTCAATTACTGTGTATTAGTCTGTACTTTCAGTTTACTCTACATCTTCAAAGAATGTACAATAGAGTTATGACTAGCCAAACTCCAGTTATCTTCGCTTATCCGGCATTGTCACAGCCGCTTCAGGTCAGATAATGGATACTAGATTCTTACAAACCTTGTCGAATAAGAGTACTTTCATTTACTCTATAAATTCAAACACTCTAACACCTCTTTACTTGACTACAACCTCAGAGGGTGGTTGAAGGCTTTTACAAAAGTGTATACGGCACCTACCTGACACTCGGTGACCGTGAGCGAGGTCTGTTGTGTCTGTAGCTAGACGTAGGATGAAGATGGGTCTGGTCCTGTACAGAGTCTGTAGACTGACGACGGGATCCGATAACATCTTCTAGCCCCGGGCCCTGCACACAGCACACACAACCTTCAGACAACCAACACTTACCCTCATTTAAACGGTAGGGTATTTTAGTTTTATGTAATTTTACCAATCCACCACAGCCAATGCAAAAATCACAATATAACTTTGTTGGTTTTCATACAGTTGTAGAACACAATTTAATTTTTACTAACTCCACCTGATTATTTGTGGCTAAAATTATAAGTTGTTTGGTTAATTAACAATCCCAATTTACCGAGTGTGTGCTGAATTTGTTAAAAGTTTGATTGATTCTTGTTGTAACTATGAGTGTTCAGTACTATAAAGTGGAGGTCAACATTATATTATTTTTTAGCTTGTGAAAATTCTACTCCCTTCCATACCCACAGATTTTGCACCGCTAAAATAAAATTGTATCTAAATTGGAATTTATTTGAACAGTTCTTACTTTATATTAAACTTTAGTTGAAAGCAGTGACTGTAGGATTTTTCTAAATATCAACTTTCATAAAAGTTGTTCTTTATGGTCTTAAACACCTATAAATGTTCATATTAATAAAATGAGACACTCAAGAGCAGTCTGTATTTTAAAATTGAATAGAAAAATACCAATTTACAAATCTTAGTAAATATGACATGCATATTATCTACCTACTATAAATGAGAACTTAGCATGCCTCATGCTACCGAAAGTGCTGCCAAATCAGAAGATCAGGATTGTGCCAAAATACTGATGATGTTTGTGTGAAAATAGGACTTAAACTACACCATTCTCTTGAATTTGTCTCAAAATACTTTAGGTCTAGGAAGAGTTTTCTTTCATGATTACTACATTACTATTGTGTATAACCTAGGTTATGGACATAACACTAACTTATTCTATCACTAGGCTAAAATTAAACACAACGGGCACATTAAATCTAAATATTTATCTAATATTTGGTTGACGGTAGCAGCATTTTTCGCATCTCCTTAAGATTCCTGAACATCCAAAAAGCATCAAAAGTGGGTTAAAATTAAGACTATCCTCATGTGTAATACAAAAAACAGGTACCCAAAAGCTGATCTCCCCTCCCATATAATTTTAATAATCCGTCTACATGGACTGCTAATAAAGAGAGAATCCCTTAGGATGTAATAGACCTTCCCTAAACTGAAATCCTGAACATGTCAGTGAAATCAAACCACCCAAAATCAACCATCAAATCAATGACTTTTTTTTTTTTTTGTACAATTTGAAATAGAATGATAGTAAAATGTGTTTACAATAGAAAATTACAAGTTAAACTGATCCCTCAGTTTAAAAGTACCAAAACTCTTATTATTTAATAGTATATTTTATACCTAGGGCCAAAAATGAGGTTTTGCCAGCTCGAGATCATTTTTTAAGTTCGAGATGAAGTCGAGAACTTAAAATGATCGAGAGACGCAAAACCCTTTCAGCCCGTGGTAGGAACGCTATTTTTCACCACACTATACAAAATTGAGAAAATATATACAATAAGTGCACACAACTACAAATTTAAGGTTATGTGAATTGCAATGCATAATATGGATACTGCTTGTGTATTTAATATACATAATTGTTTTCACAAATAAGTGAACAACAGATTTTCGGCCTTAGGGATGTAAAAACCTGCTCGGTCCCCAAATAACAATGACAGCTGGAATGGAGAACAATACGTAGCTTTCAGCCTCCAATTAACGTTTGTAAAACGGCTTAAAACATCATAGTGGTGAAAAATATTTTATCGATACTACACTTCACCTATGAACCTATAACCTCTGAATCTTATTACCAACTATTTGTACAAATAACATGTTACATGTTATGTATTCTAAGCTAATACACTTTATTACACAACACATCAAATACACACAGACATTGATTATATCTAGTTTCTAATCTGTAGCTTCTTGTTCAACACTTTCTTGAAAAATCAAAGAGTTTTAAATTGTGTTAGAGTAAATTTATGCCAAAGAATACAACAAGGCTCTTTATTGTATTAAAAATCAATTTAAAATGACCATTTTGATTTATTGTTGTAACAAAGTAATAAATTGCAAATAATTTTCATTAAAAACATATTTGTTATACAGTCCTACTTGTGGAATATACGTTAAATGAGGATATGGGGGTGCTGAAGTAGTACCTCTTGCATTAAGCACACAAAAAATTTCTTTTCTCATTTCCTCTACAAGTGATGAACTCAAGAAGCTCAAAGGGTAATGGATGGTACATCAATTTATGACCTCTAGGCTCCGATTCTAGAAATTTCATGTAGTTCTATACAAATCTATTCTAAAATTACACACAACATCAAACTTCACCAAAAGTTAACCATTCTTCACCTTTTTGCACCTGTAAAAGACATTAAATGATTAGTCGAATCCGCACAGTAACTTACTTTTGCATCGGAGAATGATCATCATTGAAGCCCAGGACTCTTTGATGTTATGTAATTTTGAACATGTCAAGAGTTTTTAAAGATGTCAAGAGTTTTATTCACAATTTTGCATGTTCTGTGTTCTAAGTGACGAATTTGTATGGAAAAAACTTAATAAATGTAATGTTTTAGCAGATAAAGTACACCAACTGGGTTAGTTCCTTCTGACTTAAATGATGTTCATGTTAGAAATAGTTATTAAAATATGGTAAATAATTTTATTTTTAGTTGAGTTACATTGTGTATAGTTGTGAGATACGAGGTGTGGCTATAAAATAACAAGACTAGGACTATAACTAAGGGACAAACTGTGTGATTCTCAAAATTAAGAGCCATATTTCCACGTTGCCTGACATGCCTCCTCCATATTCCGACCAGTTTGGCAACTCTAGGCTACTTAGTTCGGCCAAAATCTTTATCAGATCATGTGTTTACCTCTCTTCAGAAAATGGTATAATGGTATACGTGTTTTTTTTTTATGCAACTTTTTTTGTTATTTATTCTCTCTTACAACGGGAATCAATATGTAACACGAACACAGGTTTTTGAGTGGAATAAACATCTAAAAAATGGAGAGAAAATAACAAAAATGATCCGCGCTGAGTACGTTCAACTTCAAAAAACTAATAAAAACATTGAAAAATAGTCAATCTGATCCATCAAGATAGTTCTTTGAGTCTCCGTGAGCTTGGGCTATAGGAGTTGACAGAATCAGTTTGATAGGCTATATTATAAGAACATTTCAACATGAGAAAACTGTGTATAAGCTGGTGCTCAAAATCATCATGGATGGAAATTTGTTCTGGTATTTGGAAATCATCAATAAAGATAGTAATCTGTTATTTTTTTGAGTATTTTAATAGTAATTTAACAGTCACAGAGCCTTACAAAAAAAACTCCTGTTGAGGCCCAAAAACATGTCTATTTTCCCGAGGAGTGGTGAATATACGGTCGGATAGAAACGAAAGCTGTGGCCAAAATGAGCAGCCAAGAGTCGTCAAACAGGCCGGGATGAGGGATGTTAGGCGACTCGGCACCATGGAGTTTGGCCTTCAAATTCACGTGGTTTGTCTCTTAGAAACCAGTCTCTTTATTTTATAGCCACACCTCCTATGCTATTGACATGTTTTATATTTTTTTCATGAATCCAATTATTTGTATTAGTCTATTATGATGGATTCATTTTCTGAATTTTCTCAAAAAAATTGGGGTAGTAACTATAACAAATATTTCATACTGGTTAACACTAGCATTTGGTAGAAAAACTTAATAAAAATTAATTTTAATATTTAAAAAAGATTAAATTGTTAAAGACGTTTTGATTAAATTTTATATTATTTTAAAAGAATTGGCCGAACTGGCATTTAACTTTTGTTGGAAAATAACTATAAATGTCAGATATATTATAGTGATATGAAATTCATAATAATACACTTTAAAAATAGACTCAACAAGTATAAGTTAGTTTGGTAAATGTTTATAGGTAGCTGTATAAATGAATGTGATAAAAGTTGTTCAACAATGTATTTGTTAACATTTATTTTGGAATAAAATCTATTTATGATCCGAAAGTTTGTTTTCTTTCATGAATGTAACATGTTATTTTTATTAGTACATATTTACAGAGAATGTTCTGTCAGGTTTTAATGTAGGGCATGACACTTGCTGTGTTTATCTTCAGTAGAACCATAAGAGACACCAACTATAAATAAAGTGGGTTAATGTGCCAACTCTCATGTGAGATTTTAGGTTTTAAGGGTTGTTCTTGGATATCATCCTTATCGGGATAAGAAAAAAGTAAAAAAAAAAAAATAAAAAATAAGCACTATGATATTGAAAATGCTGTCAGTGACAATGAAAGTCTCTAACTTTTTGTATGTTATGTGTCAGAACGGACTTTCCCTCTACAAGTCCGATATCCCAGAAAACATCCTATAAGCTTCAAGAGTGAGTTTTATCAATCAGAACAAAAGATCAAAGATAACTGAAATAACATTTTACAGCAAGGTCATTGCCCCTAACTGTGTGAGTGTAAGTTTGTTTCTTACTTGGAGCGGTTGGTATTCCTGCGGGATAAGAGGCAGCTGGCCTCGTCGTCGGGGTCGTGTTGACGGCCATTGCCTGCCCACGTGCCGGCCGCAACGTCCAGCAGGCAGTTAAAAAATGAAGATCGCTGGTGGAACAAAGTCAAGCTAACACACAGCCTCTCGCTAATCCACAACCTTACACTAGATATACTCCAATAACCTAGCAATATCGGCACAACAGTATACACACCTAGTGTCAACGTCTCATTGAATAATCCACACTTATCAATTCATGGAAAATCTACATAGAACATAGCCTCTGAATCTTACCCTTTCAATGCTTGCAAAACTGATGTTTGGTTTTTAATGGTCTAACAAATAAAAGACAATAGAAGGTTTCTCATCAATCTTTGCACGATTTAATATCTCCAAAGGGAAACAATATTGTTTTAAGTGAATCAAGTCTAACATGTGTGTTTACCTTTGTTTTACACAAAGTCTTATTAACTGTGGAAGAACTGTTACTTTTAAGATTTTAAATGGCCTGCTTTTCCGTCGGTAAACAACCTTTGAAACCAACAGTACAGATTACACAAATAAATACATTCCAAACAACACAACAACCGATCTAGATAAGGTTAGGTCTAGCACCTTTGGACCTAGAACCATGCCATGGATAACATATTGTTTATATATTGATTTTATGACAATATAATGAGACAAGAGTTGAATGGTGTTTTATTGTTGTGTTTGTGTCTTTGGGCTCTGAAGAGTCCCCAAGTCAATTGGTGCTTGGTAATCTCCTAATGCTATTACTTGCCTTTCATTTATCAGTACACATTCAAAACACTCTATATTCTATAATATTATTCTATTTTCTACTTATTACTAATCTGTGTTTACCATCTACAAAAGAAACACAGTCCTTTTAAATCTACGACTCTACACAAAACTACATTATCTACCATAAAACTACACTCCTGCACTCCTCTCACCAACCCCCCTTACCCTGCTAATCTCTGACCAAAGGAGATAATAGGGAATGACCGTACCTTTTATACCTCTTTACAGAGCTGCAAATATATTAGATATAATAAATCTCCACTAACAGTTCAATTGCCATAGAGTTGGTCATACAAGATTTGCTCATATAAAACACGTTTAAGCTACCTGAAAATGTCCTCATCGACTTAAATAGTATCAATGATAAATGCATCAATGTATTTGTATTTATAGTTAGTATGTATCTGATAACAGGGAAAAACTCTTCCTATTTCCGCATTACCACTGAAAAAGTTTGTCAAATACAACTTACTATTCATGGTCATTTAAAGTAAAAGTCAATGGAAGACGTTTCTGGATCATATTTCCACTCATTGGACAGCAAAGTGAATTTTCATGCAAATATATCTTGAGTGTCGAAGAAATACAAATTTGAACTTCTTATTCTAGAGAATGTAGCCGAAAGATTTTTGAAGAAAACGGTTAGTAATCATGCAATAGAACAGAGTGCAAAGCAAAAATACAGCAGCTTTACGTGCCTACATGCCCCCTACGCTATCTATACCAAGCACCTGGTTTGCCTAAGTCAAGGGAAAGATTAAATGCAAATGCTAAGTGAAAATAACTTATGCATTACGCTTTTGAGGCATCCAAAATTTGCAATAGCTTGCCAATATCAAACTGAATAAGTTATTCTCCCCTCAATTGAAAATAATTTCCACAAACAAAACATGTTACTGTTGTCCTGCACCACGGTTTTGTTTTCTTTCGATTGATGCTAATTGACAGCTTGAAATATAGCCCTTAAAACCATTTTCTTAGTCACAAAAACTATAAATCAAATTGAACTAGAAACTAAATTGTTTTAACATTTCAATACTAGATTTTGACCAGAACATTCGTCAGAAAAAACTATAAAAAATTATACAAATACAAAAATAATTAAATATATAGCTAGAAAAAGAAATATTTAGTTTTAATGGCAATTAATTAAACCTTATTCAGCTTGATACTGGTTTTACAATTCAAAATAAGATTGCTTCTTTCTCATACTAACAGTCGAAAGAAAATTCAACAAAATCGTCTACGAAAAAAGTATTTTGTACGAGAAAGAAAGTCTATAAAAATAATACTACCGCCTCATTTGGAGGACTATGACCACCAAATCCCTGAAACCAAACAAATAAGTTATTGCCTTTTGAGGGGGCCGAGCTAGCCAATAGCCACTCCTTCCTTAACCTGTTGAGCTTCTTAATAGATCTTGGGTATCTTGAGCATCTTCAAGTATCCTCTCTCAAGTGTATTGATGGATTTACCACCTTATGTCAGTATCTCCTTAGCGTTAAACATTCACTTGTAAGACTCACACAAATGTTTTGCTTTTAGTGTCTAGGATGCCTAACAATAAAATGTTCTGCAGAAAGCCATATGAAACAAAGGAGATTCAGAATGGCATAGTAGAGTCAAAATAATTAAGTATATTTGGTGAATTCCAGTATTTTTTTTAGTTTCCTCGGTGGACTTACCATAAGTTCCATTTAAGATATTATGTTTAATTCCAAAAAAAAACTTAAAATAATGGTAGTACTTTTATTAAACTAAATTTATCGGATATTATTTCAAAAATATTTATAGTGCCTCAACACTCAAAAATATTCAATTTAAATTGTCAAATTATTTATATTTTTTAAATAGTTTCAGTTAAGTTTTACCTTAATTATTCATAAAAAGCAATAGAAAACCATGGAGTGAAAATATTTGTTGATTTTTAGTATTGTAAGTAACAGCATATTCACATTTACTAAAAGGTATTAAGTAAAATTGCTTGGATCGTCAGTAATAGCATCCAACATATAAACATTACCCATTCTAAACCTCTGTAAAATAGATGGCAAAACAAATATAAATAGTATGTACAAACTCAATAACACTTATGTACAGTGTTGAAAACCAATTATAAGCATGTTAGGCTGAAACACCAAGCTTCCTGAATTCCGCCTTGAAATCAGTGTGTGGTGACATTAAATCAAATTCAATCAAACTCAATCAAACTCAGATAAAAAAACTGATCCATCAAATCATAACACACCAGTCAAACCCTTTCATATCTCTCACACAAGCAAAAACACAGTTCACAGCATTGATTCACCTCCAAGCTTTCAACCGGAAAAACTTTGATATAAAGAATTTTCTGGGGCAAAACTGTCAATTTGAATTTCAGACCAGTGTGACAATTTCACAAAACGTTTGACAAGCAAAAAGCATGAAGTTTAGTCATAAGTGGTCTGTGTGATTGTTAAAACACTTACTGAACACATATTACCAAAATGAGTTTAAAAAATTCATATTTTGATTCTACTCTAAATTTTTTTGTAATGAATTATTTTATTTTTTATCTTTGGGGGAAAATGTGAAAGAAAAAAGATGTGACATTTTATACAGAAAGATATTATCATACTCCCACAAATTAAGCAGTCTCAGACAAAACATAGTTTACACAACAGTTCTGATTCATAAATGTCGATATTAGTTGAGCTGCATTTAAAAACTAACGAGGTAATATTTTTGTAACTCAGTTTTACTACCTTTGTACTGATAAAACCAATCAATATCCATCATAGAGTCAGTATTAACACAGACCTTGGGCTTATTGTTAAGTGTCATGTTAGTACAGAGACATGCAAAGGATGTTGATGTACATTTATGTATCTCAGCTACACACGGAGAACAACAGTGAATCCTACTAGGGGTGTGCGATGCATCGAAAATGCATCGAAATTTCGATTCGATTCGATTCGATGCATCGAATCGCGATTCGATTCAGTGGTGGTCAAAAAACGATTCGATTCACGAGGGAGTCAGTATCCATATACGAAAAACGCCTGCAGAAAGTCAATGCAATACCCGCAATACAGGAGCGCGTTGCTGTTGCGTTTCCTTTACGAAGGCGTTCTTATTTAATACATTCTTTGCATTAAATATAGCTTTAATTGTTTTATATTTTTTTGTTTTGACATTGCAAATGATTAGAGGTTTGTTTTTTGTCTTGATGTAAGCAGAGTGTGAAATATTTTACTACTGTGAACCTAGCCAAAACAAGGTAGGTTACTCCAAAATCATTTTAAAAATAAGTCTGAAAAATTGTTACTTAATACTTAACTAGTAAGATTAATGTTATAGACTGATTCATTTGGTATTTTTGTTAGGTGTCTGCCGGTCCCCGTCCCCGAATTTTTGTTGGGGCAAAAGAAAAAAAAGAATAATTTATTTCCAAAGAAACACTCTTATATTATTATATCTATTATTACAGAGGAATTAAAATGTTCAAATGAGAATTAAAAATTAAGTTGGCTCACGACCTTTAAGAATAAAGACACAACAGAGCAATTGCCGCACTGCCACTAGCCAGAGCCAGGTCTAGTCGTCTACTGATAAGAGTAACAAAAGCCGTGACGCAACACTAACAGTGCAAAGAAAACAAAGTCAAAAGAATAGAAAGACTATTTATCCAGACATACTAGTATAATCATTTATTGTTTATTCAATACCTAATTAAAAATATATTTTATTATTTTACATAATAAATTATAAACAAAAGAAATATCTGATATAGTGAACAGATCTGTATCTTGGTTAGATGGGGTTAAAAAAATATATTTCTAAGATCCAATACAATATTTACAACTCACAAATTACATTGAATTAATTTCTTTGAAAATAATCTCTAACAGTTTTGTGTTTTTGAATAAAGAAATATATTTCTTTGTCTCTACTTCCTTGTTTCATCACTTGCATTTTGTCAGCAATTGAAGCAACTGGGTAGCAACCGGGTGGTGTAAGAGGGGAGGGGGAGGGTCTATGACCTTGAATTCACACATCGTTGCCCGGGCCTGGCTGGTGAGACTGATTCATTGTTTTTGTTGACATACTACTACCCTTCCTTAAGAGAAAAAGGCCCTGCTGTTCCAAAAACATTGAGGGTAGTTTAAAAACATTGACCTGTGTTGCCAAGGGCACTAGGCTAGAAGATAGCATTTAACTTTCTTGTCTCTTGATTTAATATTATTTTAATCTTCTATATATTATTTAAGAGTTACTTTTCGGGTACCTAATTAGTTGTGATATTGTTTGGCTTTATTTTATGGATTTTTAATTCTTTTCATTCATTAGCTATCAAAATCAGTTGTTTTAGGATTTTAATCTCTTGCAGTAGGTCTATACTACTGTATGACATGATATGCATTTTTTAGTCCTTATTAATTATACCATAAACAATGTTTGTATGTTATTTACTGTTTTTGAGTTTTATAGGAAATTAGTTTACACAATATCTTTTCTTCAATGAGTTCTCCACTTGACATGTTGCTTCTAGCCTATTACTATTTTAGGCCCTATAAAAATAATGCCTAGGTAAAGCTGTAGGCCTACTGATGCCAATAATAATTATTTATTTATGATGATGTAACAAATAATGTAAGTGTGAGGTTATTATACTAAGGAGGTTAGGAGGCAGGGAATGAATGATACATATTGCATGGTGGAAACATATTATTTTTATTTTCTTCTTGCTTGCAGTCCTGAAGCCGGTCCACAGGCCCTAAACTTGTGATATGTAAATTTATTTCTTAATGGTCTTTTTATATTAAGTTCCATTCAAATTTGTTGTAATTTAGCTACCGGCACCTATTTAGTTATTTAAACAGTTATTAAAATGAGAATGAATGTCTTGATAAAAAAAATATTTTCTTCTTTCTTGCAGTTGAGCCAATTCAAGTAAAAATTATGAAATAGGCAAGTAAAGCAGCTCACTGGTATTTCCAGCAGTTATTCTAATACATATGATTGAAAATAAATATTTTTTCACCTAAAATTCATATGTTAAGTATGAAATAGGCCTAATACCACATCAACAAAAATTTGTATTACACAAATGTGATACATTTTAATTATTGTTAATCCACTCAATTGACAATTATGAATAGAAAAATACCGTATTGCTTCGAATCGAGTTGCATCGAATCGAATCGAAAATCTTTTGAATCGAATCGTTGCTTCGAATCGAAAATTTTTTGCTGCTTCGCACACCCCTAAATCCTACACATTAGTGCAGAGTTACCAACCGTCACCGGCCACAGAAACTAATGAGAAGCTTTGGGTGAAACTATAACGTGTGCAGGTTTGCAATTTGTTTACCGTACCCTTATTTCATGAAAACCCTGATCCAACAAGATTTGTATAATGTTTCGAATCTGTATGGAAGTCTTTTAAATACGAATAATGTAAAAACATTGGGCTATTGCTATTATTGTTTTATATTATATTATTCTACTTGATTTTGCCGCTACAGAGTAATCAATCTCAAATTATTCATTTACTATTTTCTGCAATTTATCATAGTTATTATTTTATGAATTATCAACAAACAAAAATCGATTTTAAAAAAGATGCAAAAAAAATCAGATTTTCTAAATTCAAATCACAATTATGTTTCTCTAGTTTACAAAAGCCTGTGGTATTAGCAATTTTTAGAATCAAAGCGCCTTAATAAAAGCGTAGGTATAACATAATTAATTATTTTAATGGATCTTAACTCATTAAGTTTTTCCTGAAAACTCAAGGATTCTTCATCCGTAGAAGATATTTTTAAAAGCTTGACAGGCTCTTATAACATTGCATTTACCAGTCCATAGGCCTTGGGCCTGTGTGAGTGGAACTAGATACAATCCTGTACAGTACAAGAGAGACCCGCCAACCGAACTGAAATTTAATGGCAGGCACCAAGATTCCAACCCACAACGTTGCTGCAATAGATTCATCGTCCATCGCCCTATAGACTGAGCCACCGACCTCTCAACTGTGTAGTCTGCCAGTGACGGAGGTACACACTCTGCAACACCGACCTAGTCTAGCCTTGTGTCATTCATGCAAACTGTGCAACACCCTCTCCTCAATGTGAACGTTACGTAACCTCTATCTAGATCTGCTAATCAGTCTCTCACTATGCTAGGTTTGTACATAGTCCAACTCCTTGTCTTCTTCCATTATTCAATGACTAAGGATATGGTTAAAATGTAATAAAAAAAGTGTTAGCAATAGTGATACCCAAATACAGAGGATTCACTAGTAAAATGGCCATTTTGAGATTTAGTTTTCTTACATTCTGTAAATAAATGGTAAATAGCCATAACTGTTTTATAAAATTTAAAATTCCAAAACCTTAAAAAAACATAACTTGCACAATGTTGTGGTTTTTTAATTTTAAAGAATTCAAATTCAAGTAAACTATTTGACGTTTTGTTTCAATGTTCTACTTACAGAAGATTAAACTTGTGTCTAAATTATCGTAACACAACTAATGTTCATTAGTAAAATTATATCAAAGCAAAATATAATTATAAAATAATTCAAGGTAAAGAAATACTTAATATTGTTGTAGAATATCAAAATCCATATCATTCATTTAACTTTGTATTAGTTAAGCAATACTACTACTAAATCTTTAAATGTTTAAGCAATTACACTTTGTTTGGTCATTTATATAAAAAACCTATGAATAAATACAAATAAATAAATAGTTTTACAAATATCATTCTGTACCATCTATCATTACTCTCAAAAACCCACCCTGTAAATTTAAATTTATAATGATCAGTTAAGCTTATCTCTGATATATTTGTATCTTACTGTCAGCAGGCAACCCTTCTTTATAACCTTATAGCTGTAAACATCTTTTCACTTTTCAAATGTTGTATTTCATTGGGATGAGATTAGCTTTACTCATGAAAAGCATAAAAATAATGCTTGAATATAGAAATACAAAAGGACTGATTGGTTATTGATTATTGTTTTAGATTCACTATTAAATAAATTTCAACCACTTAATTGAACTAGAATGTATAATTAATGACTTCATTTTTTTCAAATTTAGAATATAAAGTGAAGTTGAAAGCTTAAATTTTAATCGGAAGATAAAATATCACTGGGACTTTCAAACTTAAAACTGTCTCGAATATTTTTGTAATGTAAAATAGTATTGTAATGTAGAATAGTGAATAACCGGTACTGCATGTACCAATATCATTGATCTGTAATGCAGAAAAAATACAGCTGGAGCAATGCCACTCACCGGGGGCCCTGACGACTCTAGCTGTCCAAACCTGGTGGATCTCCAGCTCTCTAGGATCAGAAGACCTCCATAGATCTTGCCTACTGTCAACTTGTCCTTTCCCAGCTCTGGAAACATAAAAATTACAGTTCAAAATACAGGTAGACATTAGAAAAAAAGATGAGTAGAAAGATTATGATGAAAGAGAAAGACATTCAGAAATAACAGGATGAAGGAGATGGACAGAAAGAACATGAAAGGAGGGTTGAACAGAAAGAAGAGGATGAAGGAAGGAGGGTCGTATAGAAATCGCTGGATAAATAAGAGAGATGTAAAGAAATTACAGAATGAAGGAGTGGGGTGTACTAAAACCACAGGATGAAAAGGAGACCTAGAGAAAGAGCAGGACAGAGGAGCCGGGTGAACTAAATTTAATGGATGAAAAGTAGGTACGTAAAGAAGGAGAACGGAAAAGAAAGAGCAGACATGAAAGAGCTGGATTCTACACTAAAATAAACTCTGATCTGGAATCCATAGTAGTAACAAAGGAGAGTAAAGCCCCGGCAAACCTGATGGACGGAAATCAATAAGGGGAAGATCTGGGGAGAGGAGAGAAGAGACAAGCTGTCAACTAGAGTTTGACAATGTTATGTCAAATGGTTGTTTTAACTCTCATACACCAATTATTGAACAAAGTCCCACTAATAGGACCTTTCCACTTAACTGCAATCGTATTTCTGTTAAAGGCCTTAAAGTCAATGTAGAAATTATGAATTCTACAGTAAAACATTAAGTCAAACAATTTGTATCCATACTGATAACATAATCTGTTAACTATTTATCCATTGTGATGCAATGTCTCTTTCAGTTTTGATAGTAAATGTTTATCGTTTACACAGGAAACTCCTTCCTTTTTGGAAACCAGAAGCTTGTCTGAGTAAAAACGTAATATATTTGTTCAAACACCACTTATAAAACAGAAGCAAATATATGTAAAAAACAGCACCAAACAAACAGGTTTTGACTTGGTTTTTAAATGGGTAAGGAAAGGAGTAAGCAGCAAGTGTGTGAATCATATGTAGGTTGTCAATCAAACCAATTGCAGATGAACCAAACCGATACAAATTTTTACCTTTAGAAAAAATTCAATCCTGAATTTCATATTATCAATACAGAGAAGTAAATCAGTGAAGTCTTGCAGTAATATGAAAGATGGATGGTTTACTAAAAACATATTCTTAAACATTTGTCTTTGTAAATGATGTAATGGTGAGCTTACCTTCATTTTTGGGTATTAAAAGATCTAAAATTTTCTTTGCTTGAAGGGGCCAAATTTGTTTGATGGTATCCCGCAACTCTTCATCTGCCTGGTCCATCTCTTCGGCTGCAAAAATATTTTTTATGATATATGAAAATTATTTTATTACTATAAAAAGGGATATCTCTAGCTTCTGTTTTACCGGTTGAACATTCAAAGAGAAATACCTAGAACAACCACAGTAAGAAATAAACTGCCACAAACAGATTGAGCCCTCTGGGCATAATAAACTCAGCACAATTCTGATGAAGGTTATAAGGTCTGAAGAGTACAAGATTTTTTGGTGGGTAGTCTTAAGCCCATAGGAGTCTCACAGGCTAGCCACCTGTGTGCATAACAACAATAACACTTTTTTTTACCATTGATAATTTTAAATTATGGAAATAGAGTCATACTACAACATAAAATTAAAACTTAAGTAAAATCATCTTACCACTTCTCATTTTGATACTGAGATTTTCCCGGATGAGAGCAAAGAGCGTGGTGGTGAAGTTGACCTTGCCGTCATCGTCCAAGGGCATGTTCATCCTTATCAACTTTTTATAAGCTAAGCGGTTAGGGCACTTGTTACCGAATCCCAGAGGTGGATCAATATTTTTCAACATATCATACATTTCTGTGTAGTGGATTTTACCCCTGCAACAGAACAAGCTTGGTAAACTATATATGAGAGAAAAAAAATTTACAAAGGGATAATATTACAATGGACAGTGATTTTATATTTAAGTGAATTGTAATCAATGTTCATCTATTTATAATAAGAATTATTAAAGTATACAATCCAATTTATAGGAAACTTTAGTAGGGTGAAAACAAAAACATACAAGCCGCTCTGCAGATTTAAACAAAGCTATAATAAGCTATGAGAATGAGACGGACTCACATCTAGAATTTTTGATTATTGTGGTTTTCTTTAATGTATCAAAGGTTCTATCTATTACATGGCTTTCCATGTACTTCTTACATAATTGAGATGAAAGATAGATTTATTTTTTAACTAACTATGGCAAAATTAACATCAAACTAGGCCTATAGAATTCACGACCTCTGTCTGATTGCTGAAGATATTTTACTTAATCAAATGGGAAAAATACTTTGTGAAAATTAAAAATACCTACAATGTAGCATCAACACAAAATTGACTAATACTTACGTAGCGTTTGGATCATATTCTGCCCATATTCTTACAAATTCATCTAAATGATGTGCTCCTAATATAGAAGAATCTCTGGTTAAATAATCAAAATTATCCATGATGACAGCAACGAACAAGTTCAGCATCTGTAAAATAGAAAACAGTATACAATTATTAACATAAACTGGCAATGTCTATATCTGTGTCTGTTAGGATTTCATTTCAAATTGCAGTTATAAGTTTAAGTCACTACTTAAGGAAAAAATCATTGCTTATGGAATGCAAAACCATTATCAACTTCCAGAACTGTACGGAAATTGGTTTTGGACTAATGTAGAATTATCAAGAGAGTCAGATTATCGAGTACCAACTGCGTTAATCGTACACTATTTCTGTTTGAGAGCTGAAATTTATTTGAATTTGGTTATTATGAACACTTATACCATGATTGTTTTGCTGAAGATCTGAAGTCGACAGAGTTGTGTAATTTATGCTAGTGAAATACTTAAAGCATACAATTCTGTAGACTGTGGAAATCCTAGACTATTGATAGAGCTAGACATCCCATTCCCACGTTGAAGCTGTGGCTGGTTTCAGGATAAAAAGTAATTGATAAAGTAAATAAAGTAATTGAATTAAACCTCCAACCAAGTATGCTATTGTCAATTACTGATTTCTGATTGAAGTGATTAACCAAACTGAACTGAAATGACAACTTACTGTAAATTGTAGCATCTCTTCATATCTCACAAATCACAAAAACAAAACTATGGGAAGAAACAGAATTACTACATTAGCTTGCTCTACAAGTTCCTCATTCATCTATGGGAATACTTACGAGAAATGAACAAAAGAAGATGAACGAGACGAAGTAAGCGTAAGCGAGGTTTGATCCGCATTCATTTTCCGCCTTGGAGGCCTGTACATCGCACGCTCGCCCCTTGATACAGGACAGCATGATCGAAGGCCAGGCCTCCCCCGTCGCACACCTGGTACATAAGAAAACCATCAGCTGTGGCCTCAAACTGTTAGGCATAGTAGTTCAGTACTAGTAAAGCAATGGGTTGTATGAAAAAAGGGTTTATAGAGACAAGTTATTGTTAATAAGCACATTACTTTGCATTTCAGAACAATGTTGTTGTCCCAAATGTTAAATCCTCAATTACTAGTAAATTATGAATTGGTTAAGATCATTTCAGTGTAGTCAAAAGTCAACCCTAGTTTTCTTTTACAACCAAAAATGCAAATAAGAAGAGTTTTTAGTGATAGTAGGGCGTACATTATGCTAAAAATTTACACAAAAATGCATCTAGTACCAGTAAAATGGCTTAAATACCTACAATAGTATAATATCCTTGTTTTCTCAAGTGCCAACTAATTTTGGTTCTTACGTTTAACCATCTTGAGGTCTACAAGGAGCCAAAAACAATTACTTCATTTCCTTTCAAATAGGGATGGTCAAGTCTCGAAATTTTGGGAAATTTTCGGGAAATTTTATCTTTTTGGTCGAGATTTCTATCGAGACAAGAATTAGAAAAAAAAAAAAAAAAAAAAAATTAAAAACGCCTGCAGAAAGTCAATGCAATACCCGCAATACAGGAGTGTGTTGTAGTTGCGTTTCCTAAGGCGTTCTTATTTAATTAATTCTTTAAATGTATATATTACATTAATTATTTTAATAATATTACTTTAATAACATTTGAGAAGTTTTGTTAAGTGTAAGCAGTGTGAGGAATGTTTTATTACTATAAAAAGTCAAAACAAGTAACTATTTTATAAAAATTAATATTGCTTTTATTTTATGATTTATTTTATTTTAGGATAAGTTTAACTCTATCCTAACTGATATCACTATGTTTCCTAATCGTAGGCATTTTTAATAAGTTAAGCGTGATTAATAAAAAAATGTTATGCTGATGTTTTTTAATAAAAGATTGTAAATATTCTTGCCTATTACATTATTTTTGTATTCAAACAGTCATCTAACAATGTTACAAAATCAGGTAAAAATTTTGAACGTGCATTTCCCGTTGTGTATGAGAAGGGAAATCCCGTCTCGATCTCGTCTCGAAATTTTATGAGAAATAAAAAATCTCGTCTCGTCTCGTCTCGAACTAAAAATCCAATCTCGTCCATCCCTACTTTCAAATGAAGTGATTGTTTTCGATTCCTTTTAGGTCTGGATAACGTTCAACCTTAGAACCAAAACTACGGCAACCATGGATTACTTTATGCAGGTATTCAAACAACATTTTGATTTAAAACCGTAATCCGAAGGTTAAACAGCTTTCTTGAAAAAATACTGTTTGTAGATGATTATTGAATTGATCGTACTGCAATGCATCGATGCTTTAAGCTTAACAAATATTGTATATGACATTAATACTTACATTTCCATAGTTGTAAGTAAATTTATAAGCATTAGAAAAAGTTGAGAATTTTAAAGCTAAATCTAGTATGAAGAAAAATAGTTTAAAGAGTTGTAATATACTATAAAGCAAATTGTAGAATTTTAATTTAAGAGAAGTTTTAGAAAATATAAAACAAAATTATAAAATGGCTATAATTCTAAATCGGTACCGCTAATTTAATTTCTATTTTCTATTACACACCCAACAATACATGAACGACCACCCTAAAATCTAAAACAAAACCCTACTACTTCAGGGATTCAATACATAAGTGCAATTCTACCTCTTCCAACTAAATCTCACTATAAGTAAACGGTAATTTGCAATCAATCGTATGCTTATGTACACTTTTTATCATGTTAAGGTACTGTATTTTATATATGTGTAACTGAACAATTTATGTATGTTAATCCTCCTAACTGACCACCGATCAATAAAACTAAACACAACTTTGCAAGATTTCAAAAAATGATTGCAATTTTTCATTAAATAATTGATTATATTATGATGTTTTCTAAACCAAGTCAAGGTTAGACAGTTAAAATACAATGTTTTTGTTTATTTAAAAAATATCTAATTACCAAAACTAAAATGCACCCCCTGATTGAACTCAATATCGTTTTAAAATTAAAAGATGAAAAAAATGATCAGTGTGTAAAACAGCTCATGTGTTCCTTAGGACAAGTATGTACAATACAATGATGTTATTAGTTACATTGATACACACATTGCAACATTCCTCTATTGCAAGACATGTTAACGGTTTTGTTCCATGCAGTTGAGATCTACTTTAATAACTGACCAGAAAAACAGGGGCTTTAACGATGCGAACAAGTAACTTTTCAGGAAACTCAGAAAAGTTCACTTATAGACAGAGTTTTGGAATATAAGTTTACAGAAGTTGATATAGATCATAGTCTACAAAATGTGTACTAAGAGAATGATTAATAAGAGATAAGGTATAAGGGCTTTATACTGTGCCTGTTTCAGTAGGAAGGACTTTTTCACCAACGATTTATTAGGATTTTAGAATTTTTCCTCCTAGTTTGGTAAGGTGTATTTAGATTAAATTATATGAATAGTTTTTCTACTAACTACAGTATTCACCCATAACCTGATCAGCTTTTATGTAATTTATTAGTTTTTCATACATATTTTATAGTTTGAAAGAACCAAGATAAAATTGTGTTAAAACGCAAATAGAAGTAAATTTAATTAAAGAGTGACAAAAACATATTTATTGGCAACGGATCTATTAAGTGTAGTTTCATTGAGACTATTTAGTGTCCATTTGCAATAACCTATCATGTTGCGCTAGTGTAAATGTGCAAAAATTCTATTAGACTATTATATTCAAAAATTAAAACATTCACAAATGGTGAGTGTCAACACCGTCTGTGACTTGGTCATGCCGTATTCTAGTTAATAATCGATTATAGAGTGTAAAAGTGCGAAAAGTGTACTGAATATGTTCTGAATTACCTGAATAGCAGCATGAGACCTTGGACAAAACTGCGGAAGTTGTTGTGTCGGTTTATGGACGCGTCAGGCTGTAGAGCTATGTTACCAAACACCTGGGCACATACAGGGAAGGGGCTACAGTATACACCCTACATGAGCGCATACAACTTCCAAGACATACATACAGGGTCGTATCATACAAGGGGGCCTCGAACAGGGATATGTTCTGACATCCGACTATCTACCTCGGTTACAGATATCAGGACAAATCCCTCAAGTTCTGATGATGATGATGGTGGTGAAAGTTGTGTTGAAACAATATTGGAATGGTTGAAAAAATAATGGTGGATAAAAAGAGTTGGTAGAGTTGAGCCTGCATTTTTATCCAACTGTGTTAGTTTTTATTTAAAAGTAACTTGTGTTATTATTTGTAGCTTTTTTTAAGCCACCAAAAAAAAAAAAAAAAAAAAAACAGTTTGGAAAAACTTTATTATTTCTTATTTCCGCACTGATTTAAATAAGCAAAAAACCAAGTTAGGCTTGTTGGGTTTGTTTGTTGAGGTTTTAACCGAAGCAATCTCGAAACCTAAAAACATCGGCTCACCCAAGGCATCGTCCCAGCCTAGGGCCTAGACATTTTAGATGGTGAAATATTTGATACGAATGAGAATTAGTAATTACAGTTTCCATCTTTCAGTCCCCTAGTTAATTTTTAACATTTTTTTGTAATTTTTATTATTGAAAAGTTTGAAACTCTAATGTTTACATTTGGGCGGGCTTGGTTCTGTCGATTGAAGAACCTACTACACAAATTATGTGAGTTTAATTTGGAAGAATGATTTAAAGTTATTCTCGATCACAAATTTACGTGGGACAGTTAAATTTTTTATCCAAATCTTAAAAAAACATTTTCAACCTCACCACGTTCTAACTTCCGAAATTTGAAGAAAGTTAGTTAAAAATCAGATGAATTATATTTCCAAAATCCAAATACATATCACGTTTAGACCTTTCACAGGATCCAACTTTAAGGAATGAATGCTAATGAAATGTTTTACCAATGAGCAAGAAACCAACAGGTATTACACAAGTTTCACAAACCACAACTCTGAAACACCAACATTTACCACGAGTACTTCAAACCACCACAAGGTCCAACAATGTTACATGTAGAACAAAAGGTCAAGGTTATTTCTATATACACTTGGGTCCTACTTGGAAGTTGTACACTATGAGTACATTACAGTTATCTACACTACAATAGACCTACACGAGCCTCTATACACGACAAAACAGGCACGACGGGTTCCTTGGGGCTACCTCCTCGTCAAGCCTGCTAGTTGTTCTGTTCTCACTTGTGTAAGTCTCTGACAGAATATAAACATGACTTTGCTTGAGCCAATGATGTAAAAGAAGACCAATTGTGAGAGGTTAATATATCAGCTGTTGAAAATAAATTCAACCAAAAAGGTTGTCTCCAGTAATGAGAGAAAGTTTTTGCAACGAGAATCGACTTATATTTTTATCATGGAGGTATATTTTTAATTTAAATAAAATGTGTTATCTGACTCTTTTTATCCTCTATTTGCTTGTCTGAATTCGACTTTAGGCCTGCGTTTGGAACCTATCAAACAAAAAGGTACAGCAAAAAAACTGTATTTATTTTGTGAAATGCAAACCTCAACATCACTACAATGACAATGCTTGTAGTTTGTCGCTCCCAACTAAGCCACCAATTCACCAAAGGTAAGATGTTACTCAGTTTTAGTATGTGTTCAGAAATGTCAAGTTATTTCAGAAATAAGGTCCAAGAGTAAAAGGGGCTTTTTTGAAAGTGAGTACAATTCAAATATAGTTTAAGAATATGCAGCCTAAATAAGTAAGACAAGATTTGAGGCCTCAATTAAGATGAATTTATCTCAACAATAATCTTTGAAGATGAATATTATGTGAAAAACATTTAGTCCTGATTTTGAACAACCAAGTGATAATTGGTAGGTTTCCTGGACAAGTAAGCTCAAACAAAGTCAGTTTAGGATACATTAAAACCACATCCAAAGCAAGAACAGAACATCCGCAGGAGCCCGAGACCTCCAGGTCTACCAACCGCACTCACCGGAAGAGCAGCAAAAGTGCGGCGAAGAACGTCTGAAAGTTGTTGTGCCGATTGATTGATTGCTCAGGTATAAACTTCATGTTGCCAAACACCTTGAAAGACATGACAGATCCCTAAAGCTATTCTGAGCTTTGCTTTATTTCTGCTACAACCACATACATTCATCTCTTATATTCACTAATGCAGTCTCACTCACAATCACTTCAATCGACATGCGTCAAAACTGTGCCAATATTTAATGACTAGGTTGATGGCTAAAACTTAGCAAAGTCATACATGTGTCAAAGGGTTGTCCGTGAATTAAGGTTTCCAACGAGTGACAGTTCTTGGCCAAGAGAGTTTGAACCTGACAATAGTGCCATGTTCTCTACTGCTCTTACTACAGTATCCTTCTTGGATAGCACCATGAATCTTTGTACCCCCAAATATGAATCTTGTCCTGTAGTTAGATTTCTGTAGTCTAAATGTTAGAGGTTAACGAAACTATAACAGTCGATTGTCAGATTACCTTAATTTATGGACAACCCTCGTTTACTGTAAAATCTAAAATTACTAAAATCAAGATCAAAAATTCTTTTTTACTGTTCAGAATATTAAAATAAATTTAAAAAAATATTTGGTAACAAACTGGTCTAGACTCTAATATATAAGAATGTCACTTCATTTGCAGCACTGGATGCAATTAGTAGCTGGAACAATCTTTTATTAGAAAACCAGGAGGGACAGTGAAATTAAATTATTTAAATTTAAAACCATACCCAACTCACTAATCAACTTCCACCATCCAGCTTCACTATCAATTTGGATACACCATCCAACATCTAATTCAATCTAATTGGATTCTAATTCAAATATACTAATTTTAAAATAAGCTCAAATATTTTAAACCTATTGACTTTTAGACAGAATGGTTATAGTTTAACACCTTTTAAAATGTATTGATGCAATATAGTAGAATTAAAGAGTAAAGTAGGTCTACATCTAATTGAATTATTGATTTTTTAAGGAATTTGAATTAATTTAATCTCAAACTTACTCGGTTCTAAAAATACATTTTTACTGTCAAACGTTGACCGCAAGTATGGTACTTTTGAATTATATTGAATTTATTTTGAATTTGATATCCAAACAGTGAATTCTAGAGTACTCATAGGATTTATCTACAGTTACCTGCATTCCAATAATAGCGTAAATGAAGAACAACATAGCTATGAGCAGACAGACGTAAGGCAAGGCCTGAAAAATGCATTTAGTAAACAGATTGCATATAAATACTAAAGAATATACGAGAATAATGCAATAAATCTATGGATTTACTTCCAAAAATTAGATGTATGCATTGTACATTTTTGTTATTGACAGTCATATTTTTAATAGTCATCTGTCTTTTTTTGGCTTAGTCTGACAAGCATTTTATTATTAACAGTAGTTTTATGAAATAAGCAAGCCAGTGGCGTTTTGTCAGTTTTTAGGTAAAAATTTGTTTTTAAAAACAACACAATAGTTTAAAAGTAATAAAAAAAAATAATAAGTAATAAAAAGTAATAAGTTTTAAAGTAATAGTTTTAAAGTTTTCCTCAACTTAGGACTTGATAAAGCTTTGTTTTTACAAGAGTGTTTATTTGTGGATCATATATACTAAAAAATCAGGATCTTGTTACACTCACTGGGGATATGCACAGTTACAACACTCGTAATAGGGATAAAGCAGCAATTGAGTACAATTAATAGGCTCAGCAAATCACTGTCTAGTCATGTAGTACTATCCCTTAAGGTATATAATAAAGTAATTAATCTTAGTAAGAAATATACTGTTTAAGTTTTTAAGAACAAATTTTATGAGTGGTTATCTAAAAATCCTTTCTATTCACTTAGTGAGTTTTTCTTATTAAAACAGATAGAATTTTAATGTTTGAAATCTGTTATGTATAATTTTTGATTCTTGTATAGTTCCTATGAATTGTATATTTCTATGATATGTGATATTACCCTTAGGCCTAATTAGTATAGAGACTTGGCATTTCTGCTGTAAATTTGACTTTGTTAATGCTTATGTAGCCTGAAAGACAATAAACATATTCTTATTCTTATTCTTATATTAAACAATTATTATCCTATAACTAATGCGCTTATCAGGAATATTTTTCTTTTACAAATATTATACTATCAGTATTTTCTCCAAATAAAGTGTTCTCAGTGGCTACTATAGCTTTTTAACACACTATGAAATAAAAGGTTACCTTGAAAGACTGAACAAAGGTCCACAGCAGGATTCGTATCGTGTACCCTTGTCTCAGTAGTTTGATCAACCGAGCCGCTCGAAACAGCCTCAGGAAACCCATGTTAAATGAATTATCCTACCATGAACAAAACATTAAATTATCGCTGCATTAAAAACATTCCAGGTTCACAATTTATAAGTTAGACTAATATCACTTTTTTTTGTTTTTGAGAGAGTACCAAAATGAAGGCTTGGGAAGTGATTCACAACTCATGTGAATATTAAACTACAACTTAACTGAATGTGTAATACCATTACTAAATCAAATCAGATTAAAAGAATCGGTAGTAAAAAAAAATAATAGACATATTTCTGGGGTAAGTAAAAACGAGTAATACCTTTCATATTTCTAATGACAATTTGATTCGACTAAGAGATAAAGTTGTTGAAGAAGTCAGAAATTTACTTCTTCGTACTATTATTAAGATAGAATTCGGAGAACACCAATAAAACATCAACCTTATTTTAAATCTAACAGTTAACAAATGAATTTCAAAAACAATAAATGCGAGAGCAAACTAAAAAAAATCTACAGCTCCAACAGCACAGCGAGAAGCCTCATGTGAAATTTGAAATGGAATGGAACAGACCATTGTTATTTTTTTAATAATCTTCAGTCTGTATAGTGAGATTATATAAGAGAAGTAAATTTAATCACTATATGATAATTAGCTGAATTCAGAAGTGAGCTTCAAACGGCAAGGTCATCCAAGTTCAATGAGGATGATACACAATACTTGGAAAGCAGAAGAAATATTAATCTGATAAATAAATATTGTATAAAGGGCTACAATCTATGTATTAAAATGAGGTTATTTATTAATTTATTAAAAAATAAAATAAATATATTGCTTCAGTAGCAGCAGATATGTGTAAGATGGATGTGTTGGTAGTATAACTTTATGTGACACTACAATTCTTAACACTTTATATCCTGTGATTACCTAGTCATAACCTGTTTATAGGGTTAATATAATCACACTTAAAAATTCCAAAAACATTATAGTTACATTTTTTCAACCAAGTAATATATATTTTTAATGATTAGGCAATCATAAAATGAGAAATGTACCATCTCTGTTTGACTTATCATTATTTTGTTTTTCTTTACAAGATGTGCTATTTTAATCGTATTCTACTAAGATTATAAGATATATAATATTATAAGATTATAATGAGGATCAAGCTTATTAAAATTGTAAGTTTACGAAGAGCAAATTAAATCTACCAAATATACTTCTACATTTATTTTTGTTAACACACCATGGATCAATCTCCTTATCATTTCTTGTTTAACAATTGAGTAAATCACACATTACATAATCAAAGCTAATAAAATACTTTTACTTGATTTACCAGTAATCTATTTCTTAAATATGTATATACAGTAACTAACAGAAAGCCAAAGAAGACAAATGAATTGATACACCAATGAATGCAGCGGGCCAAGACCATCTAGTAAACTGGCAACTACACCTAGTTGAAAAATGCATCAAAGTCCATCAACTGCCTCACATGAAGCCAACGACCTAGGGCTACGAGGAGGAACTCAACTGAAGAAGTGGAAACCGACCGGAACCGAGAAGCGGAAACGGATGAATTGACAAGCTTGGCAGAGTGGTTCGGGTGACTACACACTACCGGGTGGTTCGGGTGTTCGGGTCGTATCACCCGAGACAGACGAGCAGGCAACAACACAATCTCATGAAGCAAATCAACAGAACAGAGAGTGGAAAAGAGCAGACACAAAGAAAATGGAAACATAAATAAACAATTCAATATGTACATGAAATGCGGCATAGGTATGGAACAGGCATGAAAAAGTTTTACTGAAATTCTATATTGCTGGTTGTAGTCAAACATGTAGTGCTGTTTTTTTTTATTTTCTTGATTGTGGAAATTCCTTTAATGTAGGTTAGAATTTATTTAAAACTCATTGAGGTTTAATTAAATTGTATATTTTTATTTACCTATATTATTTTACTTATTGCACTTAAGTTACCTTTCATAAACAAGTTGCAAGAAAAGGTTAGATGATGTAGCAATTGTATACAAGTTGGTTTTCTACACAAACTACTAAACTTCAATTTTAGTGTGCTGAAAGAAAATTATTGTTTAGTTCACATGTATCATTTATTCAACCTTTCCTATATTTTAATTAACTTTGAGGCCTACAATTTTAATAGTAAATACATTATATTATACATTTGCTGCTGCTGAAGTCAAAACACTCTTAATACATGTAAAAAGATTTAGGTAGCTCTACCTTCAGTAAAAAAATAGAACATTCATTAGGAAAATATTTAAAAATTTAGGAACAAATCTTTAGAAACTATTAAATCAAGTTTATGATGAAGTTAAGTTGGCCGCTTGGTATAAATTAAAATAAAAAATCAGAAGATTTAAGAAAGCAAGGATGATACAAAAAGTTGTTCATGGGAAACAAAATGTTGTAAAAGTAAAATCAACAAAACAAAATATTTCTGTGTCATAAAATGTGGAAAACACTGAACAATTTTCTATAGAGTGGGACTTGAGTTAAATAGTTGACTTAACACTGCATGACCTGAGCAGTTGTGTTGCCAGCATCAATAGGTTGCCAATGGCGAGATAGTTTTTTTTTCATAATAATAATAAAATAATCTACCAACTTAAAGTGGGACTGTTAGATAATAGCTAATAACTTTAGGACACATTAAGTTTTCACCAAATAACAAAATGAAAATAATTTACTATAACATTTTCTACTCATTAGAGATTGATGATATAGGTTTAAAATTAAACAGGTCTTTGAAATTTACCTTGTACCTTGAGTTGGTAAGTCTTACTATTGCCTTTGACAAAGTTAGTGTAGTACAGAATAGTATCTTTATTTTAAAGAAAGTGTGCTAGAATGAGCGACCTAATAAAGGGAGGCAAGGTAATCTTTTAAAGTTGGCCAAACAATGTATAAGACGAGGAATGAAAAGTGTGACATTGTTACTTGTTAAAGTGTTGTTGTGTACCTATTTTATCCTTATTGTATACATATTGCATAATGTTATGAGAATGTTGAAGTGAATTTCGTCAATGAGAATGAATCCCTTTCTTTATACCTGATGATTTATTTCAGACCCTAAGAGATGTTCTTGATAAATAATATATTTATATCTAATTATAAAATGGTTATCGACCAAAAGGACATATTGGTGATGAAATTACTGTGCGTTTGTGATATGCCATGTAGTGGCAGAGACTTAAATGTTGCTTAGTTCTTAAAAAAATGTGAACGGGTAATATATCAAACACCTAAACGCTAAATTTAGACCAAAGCAGATTGTTTAATATGAGAAATACTATTGCAACACTCAAACAACAATAAATATAAATATTCTTCTTAACATATGACATAAAAAAATCTTCTCTAATAAGATAATACATAAGTATATTGACCATTATTATCCAAGCATCACTGAATTAAACGCTGAAATTTGAAGATATTATTCTACCACAAAAAAATTATATAACAGTATATATATTCTATTCCTGAAATCAAAATATTTATTTTTAGGAACAGAAATTACTTTGATATTTCATCAATATCTAACACCCTTTAGACTTTATCATATTCTAACTCCTTACAAAAAAAGCCATCTCATTGCACAGACAAACCATCCAAGGCTAAAAATAAATATTTGAGTTTCTTTAACAAGTTTTCAATCTCGAAAGGAAATTTTAGTTTTTTACCCACACAACTGAAATGATTTTCCCTTGGCAGATGAACCATAACTTTTACGTAAATTGTTTATTTAATCATCTTTAAAATGTTTCAGGCAAAGAAGAATGAATAATAAACTGTTTATTAATGCTGAAGAACTTATTACTGATAAGATTCTTTTTAAGCTTAAAATACTTTAATTTACTTTTAAAGTGTTTAATTAATGTTATTCTGAATATAGAGATGACATGGACACAGTACTTTTGAAGCTTAAAGATTACTTTTTGTTTATATAAATCAGTTAATGTTAAATGCTATGTCAAATAAGAGTTCAAATTCACTGGAAACAATTGTTTAACTATCAATCCTTGGTATTTACAGTAAGGATTGAGTTGAGGATGCTAAAATTACTCCTCCAATGATATTCATGTTTCTAAACCTAACAATTTAAATATTAATATACATATATAATATCCACAATGTCAAAACAAAATGATGAAAAGTACTTGAACTACAAAGCACAGGGGTTTTTCAAACTACACTATGGCGATACTTATAGATTTTATTTACTGGGACAAAAGTATAGACCTACGATGGTTTGAAAACTTTTAACTTAGTGGTTATTTACATGCTTCAGTTAAGCTTTAAAGGTTTACTTTTATTCTATCACAGTTTTCGTAGCTACTGCAATACACTATTAGTAGTCTCAAATCTACAATTCTCTTCAGAAAACTTTAGTTAGCTTAATAGATTTTAAAACAAAACTGGTACATCCCAAATAGAGGGCACATAACCACATCGTAAATGAAGCATACGAAACACGACTAATCTACAGACTCGAAATGTAAACACATCAGACAGGTCTTGCCTCTATCTACAAGCATAGTGTTGTCAATAGAGACGGCGTCTGTCTCAGCAAACATCTACAAACTAATACACAAGTCAGTCAACAACCCAAGTGGCGGTGAGAACCTCGTAAATAAGTGTCTCGGTAAAATAGGTGATCAAACAAAAGTAAAATCAGACAGTAGTTAAGGGCAATACTAACATACACCTAACTATTACATACATAGAATCCAATGCAAATGTTAAATGCAGCTGCCACAAAAGCTTTTGCGCAGAAAAGTCTAACGGCAAAGCATCAATAGAGAAAACCAAAATTGGTCCCTCCGGAATATCGTCTCACCTTTGTAGAAGCGTCAAAGCCGTTTAGGTACATTTGACCGTTAGGACTCTTTGGAATGGGGGTTTCCTTATTCTTTTCCTAAACAATAACCCTTAGTGTCTTGACTTTTGTATTACAATAATTTTACAAGTTTAGTAGAAACCAAACAAATGTAAATTTTACATTTTAACACTTAAAGTGCCGTTGACATGTTTGAACATGAAAATTGCATTTATTTCAATGTTAAGCAATGGCGGGAATTCCCGTCATCAGCACCCAACGTGTTAAATCAAACTACTGATCAGTTACAGTCAAGGATGACTTAAAAACTCTTTTGCGAGAGTTCTGCATTCAAACTTTCTTGATGAGTTCAAAATACCCAACAGTCCAATAGCCAACAGAATTTCGCAAAAAATGTCAACTACATAATATTTTCTCGACCTCACCTACGGGCACATGTAATTCCCATAAATTCAGGCAAAACTGTTGTTGGTTGTAATCTCAAACTGTGATATAAATAGGCCTATCAAATGTTTTCTTTTTTTATAGCAACAATCAAATGATACTTAATAATTTGTGATGAGTTAGGTTAGGTTCACTATAATCCACACTGTATTCACTATAATTCATTAATTATGGTGAATACACTATATATAATTTATTTACTGTCGGTGTATTATAGTGTATTTTAACCCACTAAATTAAAATTTATATTATATATGACTGAAGGAGTGTAAAAGCTTTGTAACCGACAAAGACCAGCTGTTCCTGATGTAGCCCACGATCATATATTAAGAGTCCAATAGTTAAGAACAGCTGAGAGCCCATTTAGTTTCGAACCATAAAAAGCTACTGACTTTTCCCAGTATTAAATCAGTAACCATTAGATTTGATTAGCTCCATTAGCTCCCTGTGAAATGCATCCGCCAGTACAAGCTAAATATGCCTTGGCACATTAAACTTGTTAATTCTATGGATAACCATTTAAACTGTTTAAAACATATTTAAATCACAGATTCAAAAATCTTGCATCAAAATAAGATAAAGATGAAGTCAAATAGTATGTTGGCCCTAACTTACTTTCAAACTAATAATTTTAATTTCATTTATTGTCTCAGTTTGTACAATAATAATACGTTCAGAGTTTAAAAGGAGGGTAATAGTAAGTATTCTAAATATTTTAAATTTATGTTTTTTATACAGTTATTTCCAAATAATAGTGAATAGGCCTAGTAGATATTAATATCAAACACAAAACAAAAAGGACAGTAATTTTTATTATGTTTGTAAAACGAGGCTATGGTTTATCTCAATCACTTAATTATCAGTGACATCTGACATCATTACATTCTGTGTTGATTTGAACCCCGCAAATTAACTTTACTAAAACTCAAAGTCAGAATGTTTTACTTAAGATATACTATAGCCAAAATAGCTCAAATACAACTATTAAAGTTTAAAACACCTAAAATAGTTCAGAAATATTTTTTTTTAAACCGACAGCTATTTTAGAAATAAGTCTTGATAAATTTATTGAAAGAATGTAACGTTAAAAAATTGACTTTTTAAAGTAATAAAAACACAAACAAGCAATAACACAACAATATTTTACAAATAGAATAAAACTACTCACCATCAGCTCTAAAACTACAGCATCAACGATGCTTCCGATGACTGTTGTAAAATCAAACACATTCCACGGATCTTTGAAGAAGTTCTGGAATGATTCAAACAATCTTTAGAATTGATTTTTTTTTTAACTGCCATAATGTGAATACATTACTCATATGACTTAACCCATTTATTTATATATAAAAAAGACTTTTTAATCCAGGATTATGGTGTGGTTATTTGGTATATAAATGTTTAAATTTTACCGCTGAATTTTTAAAAAAAAATCTTTCATGTTACCGGTACTAAGAATATAAAGAAATTAATTAAGTACTATACATCTTTCAGTTCTAAAAACTGTTTGAAATAATGAAGTAAGTCTTCACAATATCACATACAATATTACATAGCTGAAATAAATAAACTAAAAAATTTGGATTAAAATTAAAAGAAACATTTTTATTCTATTAAGATGATGTGATATCTGACATTACATATCACTTGCGTGATTTATATTTCAAATGAGATTTATTACATTACATATCACTTGCGTGATTGTATTTCAAATGTGGTATGCATTACATATAACTTCCGTGATTGTATTTAAAATTGATGCATTACATAATGTCACTTCTGTAATTGTATTTCAAATGTAATACGTTAGATTAGATTACATATCACTTCTGTGATGACTTAAGATCAATTTGCATCCATCAATAACTACATTTTTCATACGTTTGTTTACTACTAAAGTACTAAACAGCCAAAGACAACACATACTACCAATGTTCTTTACCTTCACTCCAAACGCGATGAGTTTCAAAATACACTCGATAAGGAAAAAACTAGTGAAGACCAAGTTCATGATCTGCAGTATATCGTCGAGGAGGGGGGGAGCGTCTCGATACTGTAGAACAATGCCAGCGTAAATACAGCGGCCAGCGCAGCTTACTTAGATGCACCGTGTTCCATACAAGTTTTTTCCCGTTAATTGAGAAAAATAACATAACTCTTTGATTCTATTAAAACCAGGCCCATCAAAACTGGTAATGTAAAATGTTAGTGGAAAAAACTCTGGTTGGAAAACGGAGCAGCTTTTGTAAAATAAGGCACAGAGCAAAGAAGACGAAATGGCAGTTTATATTTCTGAAATATTAGCTGACTGAGCAAACTCAAAACCATCGCTGAGTTAAGTTTTGAATTATCAATGAAAATCAAAACTTTTCACTGCATAATTTTTTTTGGTTAGTTATCACAGAACTATTACAAGTGTTATACTAATAGCTATACAGCTTATTGCTAGTTGGTCAGACTTAAACAATGTCTTATATCACGTAAAAGTATTTTACAATACACGATGAAAAATTAATCAACTTTATCATGACACTTTTTTAAATGATGCAACAGATTGATGTATTTTGTTCTGAAAAATACACCCAACACATCAACTTTAGCTTAGAAATGACAATTTAAAACTCTGAATGAAGCAAATGACAATCAGTGATGGTTTTGAAATGAATTAATACCAATGGAAATTTATGAACAACAAATAAATAAACTAAGCTTAGCCAAATGACTGAAAGCCAAAATGATCGCAGCTGCGCATTTGCACCTGGAAATGAGTCAAAATGAGTTTAGGTAGATTATTGGCAGTTGAATGCTGAGCGGCTAAAATACGCATAGTTGACAAAAGTACCTTCCCAATGTTCCACGGGATGACTCGTTCTGAGGAAAATCTAGATGATGAGAATTAAATTCAAAAATTACAGTTACTATTGACATTGCTAGATTAGACATGAAACAAACTTGCAACAGATCAAACAATGACACACAAAAAGGGAATCACATTTAGACGAAAAAAAAGCTCCTTACTTTTTTCCCAAACCTCTTTTATATTCAAAAGTCAAGGTGAAGCATAAATGTTGTAGCAATTGTTGGCAAGCAGATTTAGTTGGTATGGGCATGAATGCAAAAAGCGTGAGCGGACTTACCTAATTATTGAAAGACGGAACTGCTTAGGTGTGGATAAAAGACGGAAGTAAATGCTAGATTACCTGATGGGTTGACCAAGGGTTATCAAGAGCCAGATATAGTTATAGCTTGATGTGAAACAAATAGTTTTTGTAGAGATTTTTTTTAATTAACATAATTAGATACAAATATATATAACACAATAAAAAAGTTTGTGTTTTGCAATATTTCTTGTCACAAATTGTGAAACGAGACCTTCAAAAATCGTTTAATTTTTACAACAAATATTTACCTGTCGATAAGTATTTATTTATGAAAATAATTCTCAATTGTTTAAATTGACTACTGTACCTAACATGAACAAAACTCGTCATTTGTTTCACACTTCAAGCTTTACCTTGTAACCCAGAGCAATAATCTTCAGAATGCACTCCACAGTAAAGAAAGTGGTGAAGACTTCGTTCAGCTTAGATTGTATCAGTTTTTGTCTCTCACTGGACCTGTTAGTCTATTTCAAAGAACCACACAAAATAATGGGTAAACAAGAAAAACGGGATTGCATGGTTATTAACTGCATTATTAAGTGAGAGGTAAAAAAAGGTTTTAGTAAAAAGCATGCATTGACGTAATGTTTATTAGATTGTTTCTGTAATATTTTGTACTTATATTTGAGATATTGCTTTTAGTCTATGTGCTGTCAAAAACATTGCACAATTTTTTGGGTCTGATTCTTTGTAAAATAGTCAGAAAATTTTGAAATTCCATAAAATATAAAACTATGGTACTTAAATTATAATATTTAAGCTCGATGAAGTTTGAAAATATTTTAGGAATCAAAACATTAAAAGAATGAACATTTACTTCTTCCATGTCCATTACAAGGGCCTCGATAAAAATTGGGTTTAGTAAGAGAAGATGGTAAAAATAAATAAAACTAGAAGGAATCTTTTTTTTACACAAGGTGTTTTTTTAACACAACCCTAACACAAATTAAAAGTACAGAGATTGTTTAAGTGGCTAATCAAGCTCATATGTTAGCAGCCCTGCTTCCTTTCCTTCATTGCCGTTCAGCTGATTTACATTTTAGCATTATATTTTATCCACATTGCAAATATATACTATGCTATTATACTAAACTTGTAATTTAGGTTGTGTTTGGTATGCCAATAAATATGAGTCCAGTAAATTAACATAAGCTTTGCCAAATTTCTACATAGGCAAGGACATTCCTAAGCTTCTAGCTGCTATGTTGTTTGTATGATATAAGCAATAGTTACAGAGCTTGCTAAAGAACGAAGTTTCAATCTCTAATTTACATAATTTTGTTTGACATCAATAACATAGCTTATATACAACAGTAATAAATTTTTTGTATTATTAAAACAAAAACTGATTCCTTTAAAAGCTTCATCTTTACTTCAAGATTTTAAAATAATTTATAAAATGAAAGAGTAAAATGAAAAAAACAGGTTTTAGAACCAAGAAACATCAATAGTTAATTAACAGATGAGAAAAAGTCAGCAGTTTCTCCAAGCGATAAAATACATAGGAATAATTGTTTGATTTATAATATTTAATAACTTGTCATTACTCATCTCTCCTTTTAGCGAATTTCCCATACAGGGAATAAGCTATTACCTTAGTACTCATGGTAAGACCTGGACGCAGAACCGATTTACTTTTTCATTTTGAGGTCCCTAGAGGCCAAAAACACCATTCGTTCAAATTCATGTGAGACCATTAGCAAGATAACTCGATCAAAAATAATCCGATTTCGATGAAATTTGGTAAAAATGTGTAAACTTACATTTATTTGAGCGAGTTAGCAAACCAGCATGATCGGACCATGGGAACGGGGGTTTATGGGGGTTTTATGGGGTAAAAATTGGGTTTTCCCATTTTAACCTAAAATCATAAAACTTTGCAATTTATTTTGAAACCATTTTGTAGAGCCCAAAAACACAAACAATTTGGTATATTGAAGCGTTGTTATGCGCCTAATAGTTTCAGAGAAAATTCCAAAAAATTGTAAATTAAAAATTCCATTGTTATTCTTATGGAGAATAAGTAAACTTGTAGTTTGCTTGTTTATGAACATATTTTGATAAAATTTGGAAAATACATTCATTTCATACTAAACTATTTACCATTTTACTAATAACACTTTGTTTACTCTCCCTGTCGCAGCAAACCTAAATACTCGTTAAACTAATGCTATTTAAATAGGGAATAAATGTGATATTTTTAATGAGATATTTTAGTGTAGGTAAATCAAATCAGGCAAATGAAAATTCTCATGATCAGTCTGCAGGTTTGCTGCGGCGGGGGTATTTTTAGAAGGGTATACACTAGATACTTTATTTTTCTTTTTTAAATAAAATGTCTAACATCAAATAAATTATTAGATTATTAAAATTATCAGATTTGTATTTACTTGTATCAACAGTTTTAGGAGAATACAGTGCCATACAGTTGCATATAAAGTGCCAACATAAAGTGACAGTTGCCTTAAAACTCCCTAAAAACTGGAAATCAATAATAAAAAAATGGAACGCTCGATGCACAACCAAATGTGATGCACTTTTTACATGCTTTAAAACTAAACACATGCAAAGCAAATTGCATGCTTACAGCTAGAACTTATAGTTTCACTGGAATGTGAGATTTAAAAAGTGTATTCATTCCCACTGATTGCAAAATTGTTTTAGCTCGAGCGTCACTAAAAGTTATATTGTGAAAAAATAGCGAACATTTGCTGAGAGTGTGGAGAAATTTCCTCTCTCACAATGGCAGCGAAATCATTAAAACAACTTCCACAATTGCAGAAAAATTGTGAATTTTTTTGCAATTTTTGCAGTTGCATTCTGCAACTAAAAGAATGAAAAATGAAACCTTGAGCCAGCTCAATTTTGTGCCATGGTGCTTGATCAACTCGATGCTAAACACAAGTCGTCTAGAAAATCAAGTATCTGGCACATCTCTATTAAAAAACTTTTTTCTCTGTTATTTTGAATCAAATCCAAAAATCAAAACTGATTTAAAAAACTTGTTACAACACAATTAAAGAAGTTGCATGAACGTTTCCCCAAATTACAGAAGATTCTAAAAAATTGCAAACCTAAACATCCCTCATCAGATTCGACCACGTTTACTGTTTGAAAACTTGATACTTGTAAATATTTAATTGGACATTTGATTCTCAAATCCAGGCAAAAAAATATCTTTTCTTGAGATGCAAGATTCAAATTCACATTGCTAGTTTATGCCATGCAAAAACAATAAAACTTCAGCTCAAATTTATTGTTGAGGACAGTATTAGCTAAAGACAAACAATAAGTTGACAACAACAAAAATTAGGGATGGACAGGTCCCAACATTTTGGGGAAAAATGTATTCCCGACCTATTCTTGAATTGAACTCCCGATCTAATTGAAAGGTGATTCAACCCAATTGACAAGGATTTTACCACAATCCCGGTTGACGATTATTATGTCTCCGCGATTACAGAAGATGTCCACAATTTTGTCGTTATGGTGGATGGCATATTATTACAGTAGTATTTTCCCCCGCAATCTTTGGAGATGTCCACAAGTTTACCGTGATTGCAAGTGACAATAACAAATGATGCCGCAATTGTGGATGATGACAACAAATTGCGCTGAGATCTCGGATTATAGTCATGAGTCATAATGATATCATGTATGATAAATACCTACATATTTTCACCCATTGATGGTTTTTATGGAATAGAACAGAAAAAAACAGCAAGTTATTTATTTTTTTGTCATCATTGTGATTTACACAAATGTATGCTTAAGATTTTTAAAACAAACTTGTTGCACGGGAAGATGGAAGATTTGATTTTTCCCATCCCAAAAATTCTGGAAAGAGAAAAAATCCTGTCCTCTCCCAACTCAAACTAAAAAAAGGAGAATCAAGTCCATCCCTATTTTTTTTTTTAAACCACGCAAACAATGAAAGAAAACTGTACACTGTAAACTGTAATGATAAATGTACAATATTTGTATTGATTGATGAAAACTAAAGTTATATTCTCAATGAGAGCAGCAGCAGCAGCAGCAGCAGTAGCAGCTACAGCAGTTGATGTTTAGCTTAAAAGTCAAAATTAGTGTCAATGTTATGTATAATCTACAGCTGATTGACAGAGTAAAAACTCAAGCTCTTAGAATCTAAATAAAATACTATCAACGCTTTTCATAATTAATTTGTTCGGGCAACCCCAACACAATTTTTTTTTTTCAGTCCAATTACTTTAATTGCATGCCAAGATCAGTCTCAATAGGCAATAATTTTATTGTTGGTTGTTGTTAGGAACAGTCTTTAAAAATTTAGACAATGACTATGACTAGTTTTAGAATTCTATTCTAAGCAATACACTCTTTAAAAAAATTATGTTTTTGTTATGTGTAGGGTTTTTAGGGTAACAATAATTAATGATATCTTGATTTTACAAGGTTTAAAACTTCAGTACCAAACAAACAATTTGTTTGTTGAACACATTTAAACGTTTCATATTAACATTGAATTGTCAAGCATAATGCACTTATACAGAGTATTGATGCATAATCGGCATCAATATAAAAATAAACCATTATCGACTTACCTTCATCATGAGGAGCAGTGTGTTGAATACAATGAGCATCATTATGAAATATTCGAACGGTGTGGAAACAACAATTCTCCAGATTTTGTACTTAAAACTGTTTCTCTTGTTCGGCATATATCTTTCTAAAGGCCTTGCTTGAATTGTAAAATCTATACAGGATTTCTGTAAAAAAGTCATGATTTACTATAAGCAAACATGATATTGCATCTCATTTAATAGAGACCAGACAGTGGAATCAAAAGACAAAATTAATCTGTTCTTAAAAAAGCATATAACCGTTTAAGTATCTTATTCGGAAATTAATGGTAAATAAATCACATAATGGTAAATTAATGGTAAATAAATGGACGTCACTCATATCAGTCATGATCAGAATATATGCAGTAAGTCAAAAACCTTCCAAACTAAATTTTAAAACTATTTGTGGCAACTTATTAAGCAATTTTCATGAGTACTTCATTTGGGAAACATAAGTAAATTATGCTGGAGAGGTAATTTTTTGAGGTTACTTAAAGTACATTGAAAGAAATCTACAAGACATATTGTTGTCATCTTCAAAAATACATTGATTTATTGACTTTGCACATCACAGTTCACAGTACAAAAAATCGTTATAACGCCAAACACCAAGTTATCCCTAACACCACCGATTATAAACATTTTCAGCAAAAGTGTTCAATTAAAAAATTACTTCCTCGGAAAAATTTATAATTTTGATAATTTACAAAAACTTATAAAAATTGGGAACACAATACAAAGTTCTGTGGATTATTCGATTATTGTGACATCCGGGACACAAGTAAATGAAGATTTCATAAACAAATCTTGCCATTGGGAATGGTTTGTCAACCTAATAAATCTAAGGATTTCTGCTATATCATACCCATCCAAACAATAATTCCAATTACTTTTTATTTACCTGATTCTTATCAATCTCTCCATCTTGAAGCTCAGCTTCGCCTTGTTCTTGAAATGTAATGATAATCAATGCAACGAATATATTCACAAAGAAGAAAGGGAAGACCACAAAGTACACAATATAAAAAATGGACATTTCTATACGAAAGTTTTGAATTGGACCCATGTCTTCATAAGTTGCAGCCATTGAATTTTGTAGCACCCTGAAAAAAATGTCAAATGTTAATACATTATGTGATTTGGCATTAAAGTGTTACAAATATATGAGTCGAACATTTTATACAATGGGGGAATAGAAAATGATTTTATTGTGAGTCCAAATAAATTTAAAAAATAAGATAATATATATAATATAAACTTATAAAATTTCCAAAATCTGTTTTCAATTAATGTTTCTACTCCATAAAAACATACAAACACAAATTTCATTATAACATTTTACTTGATGTACGATTATTGTAGAATAAAACACATAATTTGAGAGTTGCAGTGTCTAAATATGCTGAAAACCCTCTTTAATTTTTAATAAACTGAAAGATTTCACCCAGATGGTTAGAGCTGTCAGCTAGTTCCAACTAAAAGAGTAAAATTTAAATTATCTCCAAAATCACCTTTCTAAGGCAAAATATAGATTGCTACATACTACTACTAGTACATGTGGATGTAGGTATTCATATTTCTGCTTTGTATTAACCTCAACTTTCTAGTTAGCAGACATTTCGGCTTAGTTTTAATCTGAGGGACTTTATTTCAAGTTGAATATAAAACTAAAACTCTAAGGTGCAGTGAACCTGTTAAAACATCGAAGTTAAAGTATACTGACCACGACTCAGCAGTAAATGAGAACCCAGTTAAAATCTGAGCCAACAACAAAGCAGCTCAGACAAGAAAGGTACAGAGGAAACTCAGTTATGGGACAACCGTACACTTTCAGCTTTAGTATGTTGTGCCAGAAGTATACTTGTGACGGGCAAGGAAGAGCTGGCGAGCACTGTGCAGAAATTCCTATTCATACAGGGACAGGGTCTTCCTCCACCGTGAGCATTGTAGTACATGATGACGGTGGTGTTGGACTTTGCCCTAGACACCAGCGACTATGCTAGACACCACTTAGGTGTACCATCGAATGCTTCCTCTGAACCTTCCTTATCTGAGCTAATTAGGTAGTACAAGCTGCGAAACAATGCAGTAATGTCTTAAGTACACTTTCTGGTAACACCACTTAAAATTAATCAGTACAGATCTTTCCTCGTGATGAATCATTCTGCTCGATACATCTAAGCATAGACCTTTGACGTCCACTATGTCAGGCAAGTGCCAGGTTAAAATTGGCCGGTACCCCCTTAAAAAAAGAAAAGATCAGGGCTGTGCGAATAGTTTGAAAAACGAATCGAATCCGAATCTTTTTAGAGATTCGATTCGGATTCGAGAACGAATCTACTGTTTCTAACTGGATTCGGATTCGGAATCGATATTCGAATTTACTGGTAAGAGATCCGGGTTCGGATTCGATATTCGAATTTCTTGGAAATAGATCCGAGTTGGGATTTGATATTCAAATTTACTAGATTCTGATTGAATATAATTTTCAACATAATTTTTTAGACACTAAAAAACTACTTGTGCACTCCGATTTGCTGTTGACTGGTTCATGTTAGGAACCTGACCAACTTGGTGTTAGGCTTTAGGCACATTAGTGTAGGTCGCATTTGAACCCTATCTTGGCTATCAGTAAACTTAACCTCACAGTGTTAGTTGTTACTTGTAATAGTAATGCAGACATAGGCTTGTGTGGAGGATTAACACCGAGGTGTATAATAGGCTGGGCCTATGTTTTAGACTACACAAATTGGTAGTCCATCACTTTTAGCGAGAAACTTAGGCCTAGGTGGTATGCCTAACTTATGCCCAATTTTTTAGTTTCAAAACTTCAAATAGGTAGGCCTGAATTTCATAACTTTTTTATTTGGCCCATTTCAAGAAATTTTTTTAAGCAATTCCCTAAGTTATTTCAGCCCCAGAAAATGTGGTCTAAAAATGTGAAAATTGGTACTGCTGACTTTCCTCGGATTTGGATTCGACTCTGAACAGGTTTAAATATTCGGATTCGATAACAGCTTTAAATTTCAGATTCGGATTCGATCCAGGTTCGATAATGGCTGTAAATTTGAGATTCGGATTCGACCCAGATTCGACTCGGGATTAATTAAAATATTCGGATTCGATCCGGATTCGATAAAATCTGTACAGCTATGATTCGGATTCAGATTCGAACCAAAATTTCTGGATTCGCACAGCCCTGGAAAAGATATACAGTACTCACTGAGGCCATCCCTCCCCCGTCTGAACGGCGAACAACGTCAGCATGGCTGCGGCAACGTTGTCGTAGTGGAAACATCTTGGCTTCCATTCTCTCAGCTCGGCTTTTGGCAGTGTTTTTCCTTCTTCAAACACAAAGTACATTCCTCTGAAAAAGCCATGCACGGATTAGTTAAATCATGGTTAGTTGCATAAACTTATTTGGTGGTTATACGTATACAGTTTTTGCAATTTTTTATAGGAGCATGTAAGTTGTTGAACTACAGAGAAGAATGCATTACAAAATAATATAACAAAAATGTAAAAAAATTATTTCTTAAATATCATAGAAAAGTTTAAACTATTTTTTTAGCTCAGGAGTAAATTTGAAAGAGTTAAAATGTTAAAAGTAAGGTAACAGTTTTATAAATTTTATAATTTTATGCCATCATTGCAACTTTTTTATTCTTGTAGATATTTCCTCATTTTAGCAGGTTCTCTTTCACTTATAACAACAGATGTATTTTAATGAGGGAATGTTATTATCGAGTATTGCAGATATTTTATTGTATGAGGCATGTTTTTTAAGTAAGTACAATTTTTAAATTTCTCTGTTCCAGCGCTGTGATGGGCATTTTGGACATTTGTGCTGTGTATGTGCATCTATTGGCAAGCCTGCGCCGGAAATTTGGCAACAATCGGCCGTGATTACATCCGGTTTCGAGCATTCAAATGGTGCCACCAATTGAGACTGCCGCCTACTGTGAAGTGCACACTGGAATTAGATTTTTAAGTGCTAAAGGTGTGAAAACCATTGAAATTCATTGTCAGATTAGTGAAGTGTATGGCGAGAACATTATGAGTAAAGGAAACTCCTCAGATAATGATGAGATCGTAAACCGACTGTTCTCTCTCAATTTTTTGTCGACCTTACGCACCAATTCAATGAACCAATGACAGATGGCTGCCCAGTGCGTTGCTCATCATTGGTGGTATTTAAATGCCCTTACCCACTTGCGTACCATTCCGTCACTCATAATGTTCTCGCAATCCACTTCACTAATCTGTCGATGAATTACAATGGCTTTCACCGGATGTAATCACGGATGATTGTTGCCGAATTTCCAGCACAGGCTTGCCAATAGATGCACATACACAGCACAAATGTCCAAAATGCCCATCGCAGCGCTGGAACGGAGAAATTTAAAAACGGTACTTACTTAAAAAACATGCCTCGTATTACAGAAATAAGGAATGTCTAGGGACCTTTTAATAATTTTTATTCTAATTTAGTCTTCTACGAAATTGATACATGGTTGCACACTTACTGGCACTCTTTTTCAGTAGATTTGCTTTCATCTGTACAGAAAAAAAATTTCCCATTGAAGAGTTGGACGGCGATAACAGCAAAGATGAACTGGAAAAGGATGTAGACGATGAGAATGTTTATTACATTTTTTAATGAGTTTACTACACAGTCGAACACCGCTTTCAGTTTGGGCACTCGTTTAATAGTTTTGAGCGGCCTCAGTACACGCAGCACTCTCAGGGATTTGATTGTGGACAGATTCTGACCCGCATCACTGCCACTGTAACAGCAAACACACATGTGTTAGAAACAAACAATAGAAAGTAGACAATTACTTCTCATTCTCAGGTTATGGACAATTTTAGGGTAAAAATTCAGCTGCCAACAGAATGTGTTGCTGTACATAATTAAAATTAATTGTTGTTGATTGCGCAAACTTTTTAATCAAGCCAAACTAAATAGACAAAAACATAATCACATGAATTTCTACACTGGTTTAGCTAACATTTCACATAATTTATTACTCAAATGTAAGGAGGAAAAACATAAATAAAACAATCCAGTCAATATACGTCGGCCGCTAATAGAAAGGGAAAAAAAACCTGAAAAAATTGCTCTCAAAGGGCGAAGGACTATAAAAGTATGGCAGCAATGTTGTGGGTTTCGATCCTGGTGCCTGCCACTAAATTGTATCAGTACAGTTCACTCTTGTAGTGTACAGACTCACATGTTGCTTTGCTGGATACATGCCACACACCGGCCTGAGTCCTATATGGACGGACAAATGCAAGGCTCAAAGAGGCTGCAAACCTCATAAGATTGAATGAAGTTTGCTGATATATAGCCTATAGCGTTTGCTATAGTAGTATAAAGCTTAATGTCACAATCAAAACATTGTTAAATATAAAACAGTACCTTATTTCAAACCCTAAGGAGACAGCTGCACATATAACTACAACAGCATCCATGATGTTCCAGAACTCTCGTAGATAAGAGCCTGGGTGTAAAATGATACCCATGTCTAGGACCTGTAAAACAATCAACTCATTAATGTATAGAAATTCATCAAACACAACTTATTAGTAGAAGGGCCACAAACTAGAATTTTCCATGCGGAGGGATAAAACTTTATGTTCTACAACTTTTTGACATTATACAGTAAGTGAGTTGGTAAATTCAAAGAATTTCATTTTGTGGCCTCACAAACTGAAAACTGATTTAGTTAAAATTATTTCCTGTCAAGTGATTCTTGTGACCTTGAAAGGTAACAGGTTTCGATTCTAACGGGATCATCTTCAGGCGGATGTCATCATCATCTTTTCGTTTTTACGAACAGGTTGATTTTTTAAAAACATTGAGTCACAGGTTTACAAAACACGTAAAAATGGAAAATAACTATTACCAATGGGTCAAGCGGCGGGCGACACAGAAATAGAGTCTAGACATAGGAGCAGCAGGAGACATTAGAGTCTAGACAAGGAGTCTAGACTCTACTTCCGCTTGACCGATCGGTAATAGTTATTGACCATTTTTACGTGTTTTGTGATTAAGTGTTTTGTAACACTGTGACTCAATGTTTTTTTTTTATTTATGTGTTGGCAAGAAAAAAAACATGATGACAACGTCTGCCTGAAGATGATCCCGTGAGGCTCAAAACCCGTTGCCTTTCAAGGTCACAAGAATCACTTGACAGCAGGTAATTTCATTAGTACACATATTGATCAGTGATTCGGAGGCTTAACTCAAACAAAATAAAATTATTTTGTTAAAAAACTACAATGACATTCACGACGATTACTCAAACCGAATTCCTTTTTTTTTGTAAAACCAACATAATGACACTGACACATTTGTCACCACTCATAGCTGGGAACCGGTAGCTGAGTAGCATGTTTTTTTCTGGTTTTCAAATAGTTGCTTGTTTCATTTCCAAGTTAGGTCAGAGCCTTGAGCTGGTTCGCGGGCTAAGCTGTCCTTGATACATTGGGCTATTGATAATGGTCAGCAATACACAAAGTACTTCATCCATAAACATGAGCGCCAAAATGATTTTGTTGTGTTTGGTGAATTGTTTACTGCATTCATCACTAATATTTTGGTTTAAAATACACCCTGTTATAAACATTTTATCAGATAGTGGTGATCACAACGTAATTCTTTCTACTTGAACTTTCTGTGATAGATTCTGGGGCTTCATGGCTCCACTAGAAAAACTGGCCATGCTGCAGGATCCATGACGTCACATTAGTAGATAGATTCATTGATAAATTCACTGCTATTTTGCAATATAATGTTTTAGGTAAATAAACTGGCTGTTTATCAGATTGTAAATGGAAAGGTTTCAGTACAACTATCTACCACTGTGACGTAGTGTTGCGCTGCCCGCGCTGCAGCATGGCCTGTTTTTCTAGTGGGGCCTTGGCCTGATGCTGTTTGCCATTGAACTATTGATTAATGATGCTAACAGAAGGTCTATGGCAACACGTAACAAGACTAGATTTTGGATATTTCTTTTAGAAAATGCTACAGTTGAACCTATAAGACGAATTTCAAGGGGTACGGGAAAAATTCGTACTATAGAGGTATTCTTAATAAAGAGGGTCGTTTTATCAATGTTTAATGCTGCTGTTATTCTTCTTATAGAGGTTTCTTCTCGCTCCAAGGTTTCTCCAAACAATGACTGAGGAAGGAGGAGGGATGGGTGGGGGTTTCATGTTGAGACAAGCTTCTGTTTGTTTTGAAAACTACGTACTATGGAGGTTAAGATTAAGATAAATTCGTCTTATAGAGGTCACGTTCGTCTTGTAGAGGTTTTGTGCTAAGAATATTCGTTGTATAGAGGTTAATCAGTCCTAGCCCATGTCACAAACAAATTCGTCTTATGGAGGTTTTTAACTTAATTACTACGTTGTATAGAGGCGTTTTTAGCATTGACCTATATGAAAGTGTCAAGGGGATTAAAAAAAAATTGTCTTATCGAGGAATTTGTTTTATCGAGGTTCGTACAAACGAGGTTCAACTGTAATAGTGTTGGTAAAGACAATTACCTTAAGTATCATCTCTAAGGTGAAGACCCCGGTGAAGGCATGATCGAAGTAGTTGAGGACCTTGTTCCTTGTGGAGTTATCTACAACAGGATCTTCAGCGGCCAGCGCGATACTACTCAGACCTATCACTACCATGATGAAGAAGTCAAAGTATTGCATGTTAACCACCCAATGTGCCGCTCTGCGTAGCCTGAAACATTCAGAGATTGTAAAATATACCTGGATCTGATTAAACTTATGCTCAGGATTACTATTTGAACGTGGTTTTTAAACCAAGGGACAGATTGTTTGCAAAGTATAGCTAAGAAAACTTTATTAGACTTATAATAGAAAACTAGATAACTTATATGATGTATTGTTCAATTTACTTATATTTATCATGGATCATAACGTCAGTTCTGTATTAAGTTTTTAATTTCCTAACAGACTAAATTGTCCAAGGGTAACTTACGGGTTAGTGGGGGTTAAAATGAACATTGAGGAATATGGCAGCATTGGCTTAGGTCCTTCTTCATCCTCATCAGCCTTTTTCTCTTCTTCCTCCTTTTTGCTGTTTTTCGATTTGTTGCTAGAAAAGAACATTCATTATCATGTTATGCATATTTGTCTGAAGAGGTAGATATAATAATGTTCAATGACTTTTCATTGATAGTATTTTATTTACAACTGATATTTATGCAAAGCTCTTCAAAGATGACAAGTCACTTATTATACTTTGTTTCAAGTTAAATTCAGCACATACAGATATGACCGAGTCCCCTACTTCAGAACCAAGCAACTGGTTGATGGTGTAGTTTGAAAATGATGAATTTTGACTATGGTTTTGGATTAAGGTGCGATTGAAAAGGGTTTTATTGCATTTGCATAGGAAGACTTAACAGTATTAACAGTATAGACTTACAAGTGGTGTGCCGGGGAGGAAGGGCATATCTCCACCTGAATAGGGTTGCCATCAGGCCCCAGCTGTAGCGCTTCCATCTCCTTCTCTAGCTCCATCTGTTGTTTCTATCGACAACAGACAGGAAAAGGAACATTTAGTATTCTAATGGAACCATCCTAGAATAATTAGTTTTAGCAAAAACTTGCCTCATTACAATGAAGTAACTAGCAATGAGAAAACCATAATAATTTGAACTAGAGTACACCTCAATTGTGTTTACTTTTTAATGAGTGATTCTGTGCTGTTCAAAAACAATATACTATGGAGAAGTACTATTGAGACTGAGGTAGGTAAAAAATTCAATCCCAATAATAATTTATGCTGCTAAGAAATGAATTTAAAATATCTTAACCGATGGAAAAACATTTGCAGTTCAAACACTTGGAAACTGGTTAAAAATCTTGTCAATCTTAATGCAACAATGATAAAATAAAAACCTAGATCTACTCTTGTATTAAAGTTTGACTTTGGGCCCTACATAGTTTTGCTGCACTAACTAAATTAGAAATAATGTCTTACCGGTACTACTGTTTTTCTCAAAGCTGAAATATTTAAATTACTTAAATTAGATACAAAATTTTCTTGTAGAATTAAGGGAATTAAGGGAAATCCATACAGACCCAGACACAAGAGCACAAATAAAAAGTAAGAGACTGAGATGGGCTAGTAATGTGAAGAGAAGAGAAGAAGATTCTACGCTAAGAATGGTGTCTGAAAATCTCCCTTGGGGAAGACCCCTAAGACTACCTCGGCTAAGATGGCAGGACCAGGTGCGAAGAGACATAAGGAATCTAAGAGCAGAGACAGAATGAATGGAAGACAGAGAGTGGTGGCGACTTGTTGTTGATGAGGGCAAAAGCCGACTGAGGTTTGAGTGGCCACATAGGTAAGTTAAGTTACAAAATTGTCACTCAAAAACCTGTTTCTCAACAATCCATTTCCCATGATTCTCTTTTGTCCCAGTTTCACCCTGTTTTATGCTTTCGGTTATCATTCTAGTTATCATTTTTACTAGTTGTAACTTACAAGAGCGAACAAGTTCTAAAATATTTATTCAACTTTACAATCTTCATTATTCACATACTTCTTTGTCTTCCTCCTCCTGCTCCTCCTCGGCCGCTGTCAACTCCTGAGCGTTAGCCAAGTTGTCAACAGCAATGGCCAAGAACACGTTGAGCAGAGTGTAGTTGCCGAAGAGCACCAGGATGATGAAATAAACAGCGTAGATCATCCCGTTGCTGTTAGGCCCTCGCTGGGACTGGATACCTTGGTACATCACTTCGTTCCAATCCTCACCGGTTAAAATCTGGAAACACAACTCCGTCAGGTATTTCAATAGATGGCGTGGTAGTTGATCAACAAAATGCCAATAATTTGATGAATAATGCTTCGATGCTAAATATTTTGATGTTGTTAGTAGTGGTTGTTTTATGGATGAAATCAACAGGTTTTTGTCCTTACCAGCTATATTAATACAGGGTGTCCCGGAACTCTCTACCAATATTTTAGGGCATTGCTCCTGGGTAAGAAACATACCTAAATATCATATTTAAATTGTCCGGAAGTCCTTAGTTACTCTCACAGCCGCCATTTTGTTTTTTTCAGTTATTAATTTTTTTATAAAGAATGGTTAAACATACGAAATGGAAACTTTGCACAAACATTTATGACAACTAGACAAAGCTACAAAAAAATTATGACGATTTTTCAAATTCACAAAACAAAATGCCGGCCATTTAAATTTTTTTTTTTTAATCAACGGTATTTGAGTTAATTAAGAAAGAACATTTTAAATGGCCACCATTTTGTTTTAGGAATTTGAAAAATCTTCATAATTTTTTTGTAGCTTTGTCTAGTTGTCATAAATGTTTGTGCAAAGTTTCCATTTCGTATGTTTAACCATTCTTAAGAAAAAAATTAATAACTGAAAAAAACAAAATGGCGGCTGTGTGAGCAACTAAGGACTTCCGGACAATTTAAATATGATATTTAGGTATGTTTCTTACCCAGGAGCAAAGCCCTAAAATATTGGTAGAGAGTTCCGGGACACCCTGTATAGGTACTTTAATAGAAATATGTTCAGTTTTTTTTAGGTAAAAATAGGAGGAGCTAATGTGTTCACTGGTTAAGGAATACTGTCTAAATGAAAAATGGGCAGTTGTGGCTATAAAGTAATTGTAATATTTTTGCACTTAGCAACCCCTATAAATACTCCTGCCTAACATCATTAGTTAATCCAAAAGTACCACGGTCAAAATAACAATGGCATGAGTTGATGTCAACCTGTTATAGGGTTTTATGATACATTAATATGCAGGTTCTATTTTAATTAACATTTTACCATTAAAGGACATTACTGGCTTACAGGCTATATTTTTTATTTAACTCCTTTTCCTCTAGTAACATTTTGTTAATGTCTAGGTTTATACATTAACATGTCAAGATTATTATACACAAACATGAACATACATTTGAGGTTGAGCAAAGTATCAACTGAACAATCCTTTGTTCGTGTATGTGTCTCACAATTTGTCAAGACAAACATTTTGTTGGATTATGAGTATTTGCATTGACTCAACGGAAGACGTAATTCTACGCAGGAGGGACATTTACAAGCTACTTGAACTACTAAGAAACATTGTTGGTATGGGCGGAGAACACAAAAGATATGAATTCTGAATTTAAAATAATATGCATTATGCCATCTGGCATCTACAGGACGTCTTACAATCTATGATTAGCTTATGTCACAAATGGGTAACATTTTACCAAACAAATATATCAACTTACTTGGAAGACTGTGAGCAGAGCAATGGGGAAAGTGTTGAAGTTGGTAGGTGGTGTGCCTTCGGGAAAATTGAACTGACCACCAAACAGCTGCATTCCGAGCAGCGCGAAGATGAGAATGAACAAAAACAGCAGGAATAACAAGGAGATGATTGAACGCATCGAGTTCAACAGGGATATCACAAGATTGCGCAGAGAAGACCAATATCTGTGAGAACAAACAGCCACATGTTGTTGAACAGTTGAACAATTCACATAGCAAACAATGCTCAACGTTTTACACCTCGTATTAAAATGTATGAACTTAAATTGTTTTCAAATTATTATTGTGGCAAAAACATTGAGCAGAGTTTGACCAAAATGAAGGATGAATCCTATAATATTGTAAACCTTAGTGTATAGAGTACATTTGTTTTGTGTTTAAGTTTTAGCCATGGAGTCCACAAAACATCTCAAGTACTGTAACAATATAATCTCAATTAAAACACTTCTTAACACTAATACCGAAACCCCACCTAGGCTGACGTTAACCGAAACCCCCGGTCTGTGAGACCCCATTTAAAAAATAATGGACCCCGCTTAGAAACACACAAACCGAATCCCTTGGCCTGTGAGACCCCGCTTTAAAATACACTAACGCTGGGCTTCTGAGACGGACATGTTATGAACAGATGACCTGTCAAGGTCACGGCACCCATGCAAAATGAACAAATGATATATCAATAGGTAGGGGAGGAAAAGGGGGGAAGGTATTGGGGGAATGGAATCTACCAAGTAAACAGTGTTGCCAACATGCGTTTTTGAAAATTCCCATGGGCCTGTCAGCCCGGGGTTTCGGTATTAGTGTTAAACCATTTTATGGAAATTAAAACATTTTTTTTATATGTTTGACATTTCAAGTTTTATTTCTAAATCCAAGCACAAATATTTGTAGGCAAAGATAAATTCAGTTTATATAGCATGGCTGAAATTATTTTAATAATGAAGGTAGATCATTATTTCTATGGTATTTTATTTTAAGTAAAAATTTGTATCTGGTATCGGCTATTAACTAGGTTTAGACCTAGTAGAGGTTTAGTTGCAGTGGGGATTTTACTTTATACCTAATAATTGCAGAACCAGTTGAATTTAATATAATAATTGAACTTTTGGCATCACAACCAGGAGATGAAATTTATTATGGACTGGTAGTCTTTAAAATTCTTGTGGACTCCATGTTCACATATTGGATCGTAGTTAACATAATTATGAAGACATGTTAGAAGACACTACTGTACTCAACTACTAAAGATAAAGTATACAGAATGCTAATATCTATGCAATGGACCAATAGATGTATGTTTACACTAATCAATATTATAGTTTTCATTATTTTAATTTTGTAAAAATCCTCTACTGGAACTGAGAAAAATGTTTTAATTTTGTTATTACTTCAAAATCATATTATTTTATCTTCTCATTTGTAACCTGGGACATCTTAAATAAAAGTGCAATTTCAATTTCATATCCACTTTTGGAATAACCTGATCAAACTTAATAGAAGAAACTTATTTAAGATTTGGTCGGGTACCCATAGAAATATGTAAAACCTCCTTAAGGACTTTGATTATTAGAGGGATGTAAGGTTCACACAAACATTAATTTTTGGCTGGCCAAAATTTGTCTTGTTACAGCAACAACAAAGATGTTGTCCAATGGAATCATAGTTCAATATTTTTTATAACAGTGGTTGACATTATATTAATAAAGTTTTAAACAAATAATACACATTAACATTTACATTACATTATCAGTCATAAGAAAAAATTCTTAAACTAAAAATCAAAAATGGACAAAACACTGTACTTGTAAAAAAACTGATTGCTTGTAAAAATGTTGGAATTCACAGAATTTCTTAATGATTAAGAGTTGTGAATAAACAATACTACACATTTATCTTATTTGCTAGGTAAAAAATCATTTCAATTGATTTTTTTTTATTTGAATGATACGATTATGCTGTTAGCATAAAAGTAGTATAAGACAACCACTGAAAGTCATTTTAGTGAGGTTTTAGTAAAGTGCATGGTATTATTTCTCTTTTTCAATGCAAGTAAAACAAAAGATTAAAATTTCATTATTAAAAATTGGAGATTTAGAGGATCCATTGTTGACTTATTAAAAGAATAAAATACAACCTGTTTCTTTCTAAGACAGTTATCTGCCCCAAAAAGTGTATGCAAGAAATTGTAAAAAAAAGCGTAATGTGTGTACGCGAGAGTGTGTGAATGTGTTTTTCTTCTCTTTTGTTAAAATGAATGTTTTTTTTTGTTTTTAAAATAAGCCCAAAAAATACAATTTTTCCAATACACCTGTTTAACTGTTCCTCAAAGTTTAAACACAATAATAATAGTATATTTCGTATCTAGGGCCGAAAATGGGGTTTTGCCGGCTCAAGATAGTTTTTAATCGATCGAGAGCTGCAAAACCATTTCGGTCCGTGGTACGAACGCTATTTTTCACCACACTATAACCTATTACCACTGTTCACCACTATAATAATGCACACTGATAGTCAACACAACTACACATTTAAGGTTATGTGAAGAAATAATTTGAGGAATCAGCAAAAATAAAAATAAATAGTTGCTAGGCAACGGTGAAAATAAATAACACAATTCTATTGCAATGCTTTGGATTTTGATTGTGTATTTAAAATGCATTCATGTTTTAAGTAAGTAAGCGGACAGCTGATTTTGCGGCCCCGGGCTGTAAAAACCTGCTCGGTCCCCAAATTACGATGACAGCTGGCATGGCCAGCAAAACGTAACTTTCAGCCACCAATTAACGTATGTAATACAGCCAAAAACATCATAGTGTGGTGAAAAAGAATATTAGTAATACTAAACATGTAAACTGTCTTTTGCCACATGTATCAATAGATACACGTTAATTTGTTTTATATAGAAAAATTGCCTTTTGAATTAGCCCTATTTCTTTTGTCAGGGACATTTTTTTACAGGTTAATGATTGAAAGATTTTAAAATGATTTACTGTAACAAGTAAAATAAAGCCAAAGTATTCAACTAATTTGTAAAAAATATATTTAAATTTCCAATTGGAAATCAACTCAGGCAAAGTGATCATCAAAAATAGTTTGCAAATGACTTTTTCAAAATTATTTTGACAGTTAACATATTTTTACAGGAGCAGATATTGATAATTATTTGTATTTAGGACTAAGAATTAGACTTTATTTTAACCCAGAGCTTATTATACTGATTTCTTTCTTCTTCAGCACTACTCACACATTAAAACACTCACTTGAAACAAATTGTTCACTTGTTCACCAAAATATTACTATTCAGACATTGACAACTGCAACAAAATGCATATCGAATGCTTCATTATTTCGAACGGAGACTCATTTTTATGACTCTTATTTTATTCAGCACATTAAAACAGTTGTGAAATATATGATAGCACTTTTGGTGAACCAGTGAGCAATGAAATAAATATTGAGACACTGAAACACTTACTTTGTCACTTTAAATATCCTTAACAGGCGGAGAGCTCTTAGAACTGACAGTCCGAACGAACCGGATTTAACTTCTGACCAAATAACTTCAAAAATTGAACCACTGATAACTACACAATCAAATCTATTGAAGGCAGATTCAAAATAAATTCTAGGTCCGAGAGCATACATTTTTATCAACATTTCCAGCATGAAAAGGCCAAGAAAAACATATTCTGCATAATCTGAAACAGAAAAACAGGGGTTAGTATATTCCACAATTAACTGTTAACAAGGATACATCTGCTTGTAATTAATCTAAAATTGTGTCTCATAAAGCCGGTTTTTTCCCACCTTCCTGGGACGCTAGGTTCTAGCCTAGAACGGTTTTACACATTACTTTAGAATAGCCTTAGAGGGTCACAGTTTGTTGCATTATCACACGGATAAAATCCATTGGTGATTGGCAGTATTTGAACTCGGGACCTATGGCTCCGATGCCACTGCCAGTGTCATGGAACAGGAAGAACGCAAATTTAAATATAGCAGTATACCATACAGCCAAAAAGGGTATTTACGGAGGAGACAAAACCTACAAAAACAAAAGGAAGAAGTTTATTTGGTTGGCACTACCTTAAAAAAATTAAAGGAATTAGAAATAAAAATTCTGTTTTTGGAGGAAGGAGCACTTGGCTAGTCTTTACTTCCTTCCAAAGAGGTGTCCCCGTGGAAGTGTTTCAAAGAGGTCCTTGGAAGGACAAAATATTAAGTAAATTGTGTTACAAACTTGAATTAATACAAATTGTGAACTTCAAGTACTATGGACCACCAGATACGTTTTTCTTAGATATCTAAGTTTGTGAAACAAAAAGAAAGACTCCTACACAGGATGTATACAATTTCATTCACCATTACCATTTCATTACAATCAATTAAATTGAGTTCTAACTCTTCAATTATTACATAAAGAGTCATTCAGTCTTAGTGGTCTGTTTTACAAAAAAGTCTGCTAACTTGTTAACTGCAGGATGAATTCAGCATCCTCAAGTCTACTACTTACACAAGAAGGTAGTAAGGTGTTGGGGCTGGTTGTAGTGCTCCACAGCTACGCACACTGTGTTGAAGAACACCAACACTATCACAAACCAGTAAAACGTTTGTGTTTTCACCGTGTGTCTGATCCAAAACCTGAAACATCGAGTTACTCATTAGGTTGCTGTACATGTAGAGAGGTTAAATAAATATTTTGTAGTCCAAGTCTATCGCTTGTTAATTTGATTGTTCCTGCTATGGTGAAATCAATGTGTATCTGTCATAATATATTGTTTCCTTTCAATGTTTCAGTGGACAGTGGAAACAGTTGAGATAATCTTGCCATAGCATTAACAAAGAAAATACTGACAAATTAGTATCTTAATATTTTTATTCTGTGAGGTTCGGTAATAGTTTGACCGTTAAAATATATTTAAAAATTAGAGAGAAAGCTTCAATGATCAAAGTCAACTGTCAAAATCTTCATCTTTGGGAAATAACCACATCATTGAAAGGATTGAAGTGTCAAAAATAATAGCTGACGTTTAAATTGCGTTATCTATGTTCTGGGTAAGATAAAATTCAACTTAAATTCACTGTTTTCTTGCCAGGGTATATTTGAAGACCAATATAAATCCCAAATGAAAAGGAAACATATTTTAATTTTATAAAGTCTTCATGAATACAGCTTCACAACAAATTATTAAAACTTAACACATGAATAAAGTAAACTTTAACTTTTTTTAGTTAAATAGTTGGGTTTTACACAGTATAACAACAATAAAGCAAGACAATTATATTTTTATGGTATAGTCTCTGGATCACTGATTTTTACAACAAAAGTTTTAAATTACCTGTATCCGTCAAGTGATCTTCGATTGTAGTTGTTTGACTACAGCTGTTTCATGTTTATAAACACATCTTCAGGTCAACCTCATGACGACCATTTCATGGATCCCATCCATGAAATGGTCGTCATGAGGTTGACCTGAAGATGTGTTTATAAACATGAAACAGCTGTAGTCAAACAATTACAATCGAAGATCACTTGATGGATCCAGGAAATTTAAACCCTTGGTTGTAAGACAATTTTCAATCATGTTTTATATCCGTACATTCAAATTTCACATTTCAGACACTCATTTCCACATTTCATTTCCAATATTTAATAATGTTTGGCAACACTTACTACTGAAGGGAGTAAAATTAAGACAGTTGAGAATATGCAATCCTAATAATTTTTAAAATTCCATGATTAACACGATCAATAAATGCCAGTAACATGACCCATAGACAACTGATTTATCATCCCGAGATTTCTTCAGAGGTGAGTTCAAGCCCAAGACAGCAATTCGTGGATTCGGATTGGTACCTAGCAATATTTTTTATCAGTACAGTTCGCACTTGTAATGTACCGGCTCACCACTTGTTTTGCTGGATACACTTCACACACAGGCTACAGGGACCAAGTGAATGGGCAAACGTAAGGTAAAAGAGGCCCAAACCTTTAAAAAAAATGTTCTTGGATAAGAGTTTCAACTAACAGTTCTAGCTAGTCCTTACCTGAACCTCTTCTCCGCCCTCCAAAATGACTGACAAGCTCCTTTATTTTTCGCTTTCGCTTTCAAGTACGAAGCTCCAGTGGGATCTGCAAGTAAGAAGTCTGTTCAAAAATTAACGAGAACTTCAAACAGTTACATAGGTGAAATATAAATATACTGTAGTTGTTAGCACTGCCTCCCCAGACCTCTTCCTGTAAACAACAAGCCGCTTCATAGCAGTAAGCATCTTAAAATATAAAACAGTTGGGAGTTGTAAAAAATATGAAATTTAACTTAAAGTGCAGTTTGAAAGAAAAATCTTAAAAAATGTGATTAAGTTTTGAAAGTAGGTTAAAACTGTATATTATCTTGGTAGAACCTTGAAAAAATATAATGTTGATATGAAATATGACAACAACGGTATTATTTTGTTTACATGAACGTTTCAGAGAATTCTAATACTTGATCAACGAATGTCAAAAATAACCACATTATGCCTGAACGCAAAGAATTTAAATCTGTTCATCTTATTCTATTTTTGTTTTCAACTTTTTTCAATGGATATTTTATTACTACTGATATTTATGATTAATTCCCTACTACATATGCTGAGCAATTGTATATGTACAGTCAAGACGCTGTATGTACAGAAGCTTTCATTTCCCACTACAAGCAGTTCTAGATCTACAGCCACTAAAGTCCTAGTCCAAATACTATACTACTGACTGTACACTATTCACAGTTTTCAATGTCGATCGTGAGATGTGAGCTTCACATTTTACATGATTACCTCACATTTGCGTTTAAGATCAAACAATCTTACCATGTCTTGAGGTCTCAAACAGTAATATTATTTTTGTGATTTCACTATATTTAAATGAACAAAAACAATGGTGTAAAGATTAACATCGCACGTTTCAAAGTCTGCTTTCTTTTAACAAGTTTTTAGGGATTTCCTCATCTAAGTCCCTTAACGTATAATAGTATTAGATCATTTATAATGTTTGAACAATTATGACCATTTTTTTATAGACTGATGTGGTCATGTTTCAATTATAATTGTATGAGTGCAAAAAACATTTTTATATGAGTAATATAATACCCGCAATGCACTTGTAACTTCCAAACAAGACAATATTAATTTCTTTGAAGTTACCAAAAATTGAAAAGTTTTGTTTTGTAAAAAGATTAAAAATAGAATAAGGCTAGTTAAAACTGGATACAAAATATTGAAAATAAATGGTAAAACCAGAAACCTAACTACAAAATTCAACTTGATATCAGAAGTATTAGATTGCGTAAAGCAAGGAGGCATATGAAAACAATGTAAATTTACCACAATAGTAAAATCCCAACAATAAGGCTTATTCAGCTCCAACAGCATATAAATCAGTAGCTGAAAGCTCTTCATCAAACTATTTAAGAATAAGTGGTTACAGGAAGCCGGAACCAGGATGGGATCAGTACAGATTCCCTTTTCCAAGCGTAGAAGTAGTCACAATTAGCTGCAGCAGACAGAGTAAGAAGAAGTCGACTCCTAAAACGTTAACTAACAGAAGTTATATCCATGCGTAGACTAACTACAACAGGTAACGGCCACCACATTACGTTCACATGGCATTATATTACGGCTACATGTACTCTGATTACCATACCTCTTCGGTTTTTCTTATTAACAGGCACTGAAACAAAATATTCAGCAGTATTCATTGGTAAAAATGTTCTTGTGATTTTGTCATGTGAAAACAATCCATAAACCAACACAATATTAAACATTGTTTACTTTTACTTAAGCAAGAGCTATAAAGAGGAGCCGTTTTCTAATCTTCATTTCAGGCCTGTATGAAATGTGTTAAGTATCACAATGAGAATATAACCCATCCGCTAGATTAAGAAAGGTCTGTACGTACAAATAAAATAGGCTTAAAGCACTGTAGTTAAAACTGTTTCCATCCCTACCTTATTCATAAATCTTTACCTAACTTCCAAAATAAAGGAATAGCAAAAAACAAATAACACATTTTGTTTCAAAATAATCAAAAATGTCTAGTAAACTACAGCAAGACCAAAATGAACATCATACGACGAAACCACACTCTGACTGGCTGTCCTGTTGCTTTAATAATCATGTTGTAGTTTTTTTGTGTTATGAGGAATCACAAAATTAAGGAAAAAGTACTCTTGACCCTTTAGGTAGATATGGGAAAATGAGGGGCATTTAATAAATTGTTTTCAAATCCTGATCTTTTAGCATAATTGTAGACAGTAAAGAGTGGGCATGCACACTAGTACGATGGCCCGACTCCCGTACTATTCTCACAGCCTCTGCCAACCTCACCCGGCCAGATTGTGTTGGGCTTCATCCACAGCACATCTGCTTATTTTATACATTCACTCATCACTTGTAAATAATGAAGGATACTCCATAATCCAACTTTCCAGCTAATATATGGTGTGGAAATGAGGTTACAGTATTCCAATTTTAAAAAAGGTAGGCCTATGTATTTTGAATTACTATGCAGAGTGTTTAGCCAAAATAGAAACTGGGAAAAAATTCAGTGAACTGTATGGAACCAGGAAATTTGGAATAATAATCACCAATAGCCTATTGCCGAGCGTAAATTTCCTTTAAAGTAGTACGAAGAAGCATCATCGTGGCAGGTAATCACAAATATTTCAGCAATCTTTGGGACAATCAACAGGCAACACTGTGATTGTGGGTAATGATTCAGGCGTTATTGTAAATGCGGAAGTAATATAGGGCCTATGGCCACTTACAGTCATAAAAATATATTGTTTTATTTTTTTATATTAATGAATGTGAATGTCTGGTTAATCTGAAAAAATTGTAATCCGAAAAGGGTCAGGTCCAAATTAGTTTGGATTAGCTGGACGCCGGTATACATTGATTATTATTGTTGAGAATTGAAATATGAACATTGTCCAAGTAACATTGATTCATCACAAGATATGTATCTAATTTTACCTTACCCCAAAGTAATATATTTGATCACAGCATTTTTGTTAATTACTACACTTCCACACGGTTTAAATTAAGCCTATATAATTTTATACTTCATACTGGGTCTGTTTTTAAAGCCTCTATTGAGATTGACCCTACTAAAAGAGACAACAATAAAGTTACTCTATATATTTGAAAAAACACACAAACTAACTACATTGATCGACTAAGGATAAAATATTTATCCGTCTACCACTCTTTGTTTAAAACACAAATAACGATACAAACAATTTTCAAAACTCACAAACCTTAGGAAATGTAATTTTAAACAATTGCCTAAAGGCATGCTAACCTAAAGAATTAACAAGAACATTTATTATTTAGAAGTGTAAAAATAATTTAGTCAAAACTCCATCTACATTTTACACTCAAAAAACCCCAAAGTGTGTAATAAACAACATGTGACGATTTACAAGAATAAAACACAATGAAATCCCACTTACCATCTTCTCCTTCCTCCTCCCCCTCCTCTTCTTCTGTGTCTGTGCTTTTGCTTTTCCCCAAGTTTTTTAACTTTTTTCTTTTTGCCGCTGCTCTTCTTCTTGCTGCACAGGCAAAATAGTAACAGGTTTACAACGAAAATACAAAAATAGAACAGATTGAGAAACATGTTTCATAAAACAGCTTGCTTAACACTGTACACATTTTGTTTGCTTAGTTTGGTAAGCAATATTTTTTTGTTCATAAATTACTCTTTTTTGCCTTGGTGCTTTCTCTTACCTTCTATTATGTGCATTTTCTCTTCTTCTGTAGTTCTTTCCTCGGCTAAAATTACCTCCTCTGAAAAAACAAAATGAGTATTAAAATTTAGTTTATGTTAATTAATTATACATCCATGTACACCCATGTTGGAGAAATTTCACTATAACTTTAAAATACCATTTACTTTTATGGATGCAGTAGGTAGTTAAATTTGTTTTTGGATCTGTTAAAGATAGCTGTTTTCAATTCTTTTTTATATCACTAGGTATATTTTGTATTGATGGGGGTTTAATTTCCTTATTTTCTTTTATGAGCTTAAAGTTCTGCTTAAAAACACATTTACCAGCAAAATATTATATCAGTCATTAAAAAATTATTTGAGGTTAAATTTCCATCATCCATTCATGCTTGTTATCATTGCTGATAAAATAAACATTCTCTTGCTAAAACAACACAAATATAATTTACCTGCTTTACATATCCATTCTACATAGCCGTTCAGTTCTCTTTCAAGTTGTTGTTGCCTTCTCAACTTTAAAAAAGTCTGGCGATTTTCCACTTTTTCTCTTTCCTTGGCAAATTCACTGTACAGAAAAGGAACAGGGTGCAAACAAACTACAACAAAGCAGGAATATATCAAGTAATTTACCAAACAACAGAATATTATGAAAGCTAAAGGTTTGATTGTTACAGAATTTTAAGCTGGGGTAGAAAATACATTTCAATACATCTTAATACATTTTTAAGTATTCAGGGTTTAGGTGGCCTCGACTTTGCTTTAGTTGTGTATTCAAAACATAGGACATCTGTACGTTTACAGGGAAACTCGTATTGGTAAAGCACGGAGGAATGGGAAGTGTCTTTTTCTACAGGATGATTGGACAGCCTAGTATTTTGGGTCTGAATTTAATAATATAAGAAAATAATACAAATCACAAGGAAAAATCATATAGTACAGTCTTGGATCAAAATTACAATACCACACTCGCACACATGTTAAAAATCCTTACAGTTAGTATGTGTTAGTCAACCATAGGAAAAATAAGTGTTAGTTATACAACAAAACTCAAATAGCGTACCACACAGGTTTTCAAACATAAGTCACCGTCTATACCACATTTCTTCTACATTCAATTGCCACTCAATTTGGCAGGATGTTGGTACCTGCTTGGGATATCCAAGAAATATAAGCACCATATTGCTGCCTGAACTGCTTCTTATATTTCACCTTAAAATAACGAGCTCTCCTCTCAACGATTGCTCGTTGATTTGAAAATTCTCTGTAAGGACATTTCATAGTGGTTGATACAGGATGTAACTTTTATTTTTGGTTGAAAAGAAGTAAAATAACTAAAGAATGCAATTTCAGTGGTGTAATCTGTAGAGTTTTCATTCTTTTCTGATTGTACATAACTTAAATGTAGGTTTGATTATGCACAAGAGAATCAAATCTCTACAATAATCTCTGTTTTACAACAGCTAACATTTTGGTTAGTAACTATGTTCACACAGCTGCCCTGCAAACTAATTGAATTAAGCTTCTTAGTTAAATCAGTAGAACCAAGTTCATGGACAATTTTAGATTTAGATCTACGCTCCTCGGTACTAAATAACATTAGCTCAACAAGTACTTACGCTCAATACTTCGATTTGATGTTATGTTTAATTTTCAATATTACAATGAAATATTTGCCAAATTGATGGCATGTTTATTCATAAACAATAAATATAGAGAAATTCATTCATTCGCCACAACGAAGAATCATCAGGGAAAATAAACTGGGAAATTATGTTTAGTAACCGGTAGGCCAAGAATAGTAATACAAACAAATTTATCCTGTTAAATTGTTGGATAAGATAACAAACTTTTACAGGAGTTACTGTGCCTACGGACATGAATAAATCTTGGTCTATGACCATTGACTTTTTGTATCCCTAGTTTTACAAATTGTACTTATATGATTATAAAACTTACTTCCTACAGTTCAGAGAATACAGTTGTGCTTATACTCACCCACTAAGAACACCAAGAACTAAGTTGAGCATAAAGAACGACCCAAGAACAATGAGAGGGACAAAATAAAGCCAGTTGAAAGAACTACCTATGGCATCATTCATCTGTGAAAAAAATGAGAATCATGTAAGTGTGTCACAAAAACAAACCTATGTTCATACAACTAATAAAATCATCACAGAGTCAAGCAAGCACTGATCATATTTTCACTCACCAAATCATCGAATATGAGAGTAAACATAATAGTGTCTTAATTGGTTTTATCCCTTCCCTCGCATATATTTGTGTACCATCAAGTGTCTTATTGACAAAATACTGATATGGAAAGGGTGGCATTGAAGATTGCTACTATTGATTACACAGTACATAATAACAAAACTTAAACAGCTATTAGAGTACGAGCTGTCACCTCAAAATGTATGTTTATTGTTTAATTCTAAATTGAACATGTATAAGATGAAAAATACTCCAATGTTTCAAATGAATGTGGTAAACTTTATGGGATTTTCAATGTTAATTGATCCCCTAAACTAGGGGATTATGGGTTACCAAAGTTTGGTCACAAAATTTAGGCAGTTTAAGGGGAAGGTTTCCAGGGTCCCCCCCACACTTTTTAGCTTAATAACAGCTGATGTTTCAAAGTTAGGGTGAGTTGGGGATGAAATAGTTTCCCATCAAAAACACCTAAATTTTTTGAACGGAGTATAACTCTCAACTGGTTCAACAGCATTGTTGACTTGGAGTTGAAAGTCTGGTTCGCTATAATCTGATACTTACCCAGTATAAAATAGCAGTCCATCCCTCCATAGTAATACATTGGAACACTGTGAGCATGGCTAAGCCAATGTTATCAAATGATGTGATCCCATAGTTAGGCCCTTCCCAGTCCTCTACGCACACAGAGATGTTCGGATCACACGCATAACTCCCTACAAAGACAAAACAATGTAAATATTTTGCAATAAGGTGGCTATTAGTTGCTCGAACACTATATAAATTATACCACAAACTATAATAATCACCTCTAAGCTTAGATTGTTTTGGTTTTGATATTTCTTGAAACTATGAAATATTTATCAAACAATTCTGAGCCAAAAGAGGTAGAGTCTAGAGAACTACTGAAGAATTAAGAAAATCTACAGAGAACTATTGGACATCTACGGTAAAACTATTGTTCATCCAAAGGGTATTATGAGAAGTACTAAATTAGTTCAAATTTGTTTGGATAGATGAAACTAAATGAGCTTTAGACTAAGTTTATACAGTGAACGGTAAGTTTTGATACAAATGAGATTATTAATTATTTTACAGCACATATTTGTAAAATTACTCACACAAAATATTTGACTGAATACATATACAGTAATGGGATATTGTTACTTTTTCACTACATAATCATTCCAGGCATATTGCATCATCAAACGTTTCCATAACTTGCACTACGTAAAAAATGGGGGAAATCTTTTAAAATTTTTTATTTTATATGGGGTAGTTTATATCCCTATTTCCTGTATGGAAAACTTATTAAGAATGGGGGAAATTTTTAAATTTAATATGGTGTCTTTTGGAATATTTTAAACTCAGATTATTTCTAAAGAAAATATATCTTACATAAGGAATATTTGCTCACAAAGTAACTGCTTTGTATGACATTGGTTTCTTTAAATACAATTAAATTCAGTATATGAAATTTGACTCAAGATTTTACCATTTAGAATGTTGTTTATTTACAGCATGGCCTATATTGCAATCAAATGTTGGATAAAATTATACTGTGTTTAAATTTTTTATTATTGTCAAGTGAAGAAAATCATTGTTTCTAAGTTATTGCTGTCAAACAAGAACAAAAATTTACTAAGTAAACATTGATCTAGTAATATTATTTGGAGTTTAAAATAACTCTACATACTACCTACAAACCAAAATTAGGTTTATGAATCAGAAATTCTAAAGATTAAAAAGTGTGATAACTGATCTTAAATACAGTAGACTCCCTCTTATCCGGACACCTTTTAACCAGACATCGGTTTAACCGGACTACACTCGGCGGAAATAAAATCTCTTTAACCGGACAATTTGTATCAGCACATTGGTTTAATCGGACTAGATTGGCAGGAAGGGGGCAGTACTGAAACGTCTGTTCTCGTGGGAAAGATTTGAGACCAGTGATCTTGTGTCTTAATACAACGCACTCCTAAATTTAAGTTATCACAGTAAACAGTCTGTTTCAACGAGTTTTTGGGGACGTTGGTTTAACCAGAAAATCCGTTATCCAGACTGGCCTCGGTCCCGAGGAGTCCGAATAAGAGGGAGTCTACTGTAATGGTTTTGTCAATTTTTCTGTCTTTTCCATGAATAAAATAATATATGGCCTTCTGCTATAAATTAAAAACGTACAATAAGATCTTAAAAGTAGGAACAAAATATTATTTATCTTCTTCTAATCATGAATCTCTTGAACTTCAAGTGATTGATGTAAGAATGATGGTCTCTACTGTTGTGGTTTACTCCTCAATTACTCAAACTTTAGCTCAAATCCTTTGCAATCAGAAAACTGTAAATTAAGTTTTCTCAAACAGTCTGGCAGCCAGATGTAAAGGCACAGCACCGTTATTTTCATAGTGATTCTCCATAGTGCTAGCTATTGCCCACCGTTAAAAAAAACCCAATTGCTAAAGGCCAGCAATACCAGCTACAAAACACATATGCTAATTTGCTATGGAGATGGTATTTATTCATGTTTACTGAATGGTGATTAACATCATTGGAACTAAAAAACTCTGATATAGTGGGAAGAAGCTGCCATGATAGCTGATACACTGAGAGTAGTTGGTTATTAGTTACTAATGGTCACACGGACAACAGAAAATACAGTTCTGTTTACTGAGCGCAAAGGGGAAAAAATCAAACCATTCTCTTTGAACCAGACATTTGCCCGTCCAAAAAGGCCTTTGGCCAGTGGTGAGGCAATACGGTACAAGTATGAACAGTACTGATAATTATTAATTGTAGTCTCCTAGACTCAAACCCACAACATTGTTGCTATGCTTTGGACTCACAGCACATCACACGACCGACTCTACAAGCTTGCCTAAACAAAGTGGTTAAATTGAAATTAGTTTTTCCAACAAAAAGGCGGATGTGTAGACTAAGCATTTTAAATGCAACAGATTTAAGGAGAAAATTTGTCTCTTTAGTGTCCTCTATGTTGCAAAGCACGGATACATTAACTATAGTTCGGCCGCTTAGGAAGCGACCTCCTCCAGCATTGGTTTAGCATTAGCGCGCAGGTCGTTTTCTAAGCGGCCGAACTATAGTGTACTATATTTTTTCATAACCACACCCAACAGCTGTTACTCTCTTAACGTCTTAACCACTCACAAACTGATTTCCCAACTGAAATGCCACTTAAAAAAACAGTTATCACACTTGGCAAATATAATGAAAAAAAGGAATCCACAATGCAGGGATTCTAACTAGGGACTCTGCTAAAGCTCTCATACTAAAACATTCCATAAGAGAATTATTTAAATAGTAATGGTTGTATAGTACAACTAGCTTGTTGATGAATGAAACTAATCATGCAGGCGATTGCTGGGTAATTAATTGTATGACAGCTGAGCTAGGATAACTAAGAACTGAACTCACTACACAAACACTAGTCTCTAATCTAAGAGAAGAAAGCAAACAGTCTACGGCTCAGAAATGTTTTATACAGTTGTGTTATTTAAGTGTTAATGTTAAATATGAAGCACAATTTAAATCGGTGTACTACTCACACTGTAAGTGCTTTATTGTATTTTTTATTCATACTACACATTTAGTAAGTTATTCTCTGTTATTATTTGTAAGTTTAAATGTATTTCACAATAAATTTGTGTACAAGAACAGGGTGCCTACAAGAACCTAAAAGGCAATATTTATGTTAAAAGCAAACTTATTCATTGATACTTCTGGTATAGAAAAAAAAACCTTTAATTGTTAGTAGCATTATTGTATTACTACTAGCTTGCCTGTACTATAGATAAGCGTTTGAATGCATGTTTCAGACTTTAAAGTGGTAAATGATTAGGAGAATGGAATGGACATTTCTGGCCTATAAATAAATTACAGTATATTCATATTGACTTAAACCCTGCAGTACCTAACATTTTCAAAAAATGTATCATAGTTGTAGTGCAAACTGTCAAAAAGCATTTAAATACATTTCTTTATGAAAATTCAAAAATGCTGATAAATGTTGTTATAAACGAGGTTTTTACTGACATTATATCTATAAAAGTTTGTTGAAGAGTTTGTACTAAATGAAAAAAAGTTGTGGCTAGAATATGATAGTAAAGTATAACGTATTTTAATTTTTCATAATTTGTATACTGTTGAAAATAGCATGCAAAAACCAGATTTATAGACCACAAAATGATTCAAAGTGTCTAGCAGTGGTTTGGGAGCAAAAAGTAACTGTCCAACCTCCAACATTGCCCAGATCAGTAGACACCCTGATAGCCATTGGCAAAGTGGGTTGGTATACTAATCTATAGTTTGGTTTAGTATTTTATTTCAACTCTCAGCACAAAATTACAGCGAGTAAAAAATAGCGACTACGATACTTAGAGTGCAAGAAGCTTGCCATGCACTCAAAATGTTTCCTTTCGTTATGTGTATCTGTTATACACCTCTGTAGTGCAAGTATCAATGCTATATGCAACAAATCCAGAATAAACAATAAAATATTAAAGCTCTACGATAACATGTAAGTTCCATACCACCAAAATCGAAAGGCTGTCCAGAATCTGTAAGCATTCAATATAATGACTCCCTGAACAGCAAAGGAGTTGGTTGGATGTTTTCAATGCGGATTGTTTTAGATGAAGAGGTGACATAAGGAAAATAGTTAGCTATATATTGGTATTTTTTACAAGCTATGAAATTTTCCTCACAATTTGCAATCCTCAAAGATACTTTAAGCATTTTATTTTAGTAATTATTTCCAAAAACCTTTAAACGTTGCTACTTATTTGTTTTCATATTTTTCTTTTCGTCTACCAACTATAGCACCAACATCTGCTAAGGAACATGAAATAAGCTGTACACTGCTGATACTGCAAGGAAACTGTCGCTAGACTATTCTCAGCCCAAGCAAGAGAATGAAGAAATCTGATATCATTGATAGCCAGCTCAACCTATATAATATACGAGTATCTAATGCAGAGCCTAATTTAAAGTTTTTAAAAATGACCATAATCTACACACTAAGATTAAACCATACCACCAAAATCATACGGTCTCCCTGAACCTGTAATCACATATCAATATTTTCCAAGTGGTTCAAGACATAAAACATCAACAAACACTCGCCACATATAGAATCAAATCGAGCAATATTAATAGGTTTCTAATACTAAGGTTTTCTAATATTTTTATGAAACTATTAATATGCAACTTGTTTCTTTAATCATATAACAAGGCACTATATTTGATTGTTGTGTTGTTAGTTAAGATTTAAAATTGTATTTTAGGTTGATATTGTAATTTTATTCCAAAACTATTAATTACTACACACATTCATTTAGCCAAGACATTGGTACTCAAGGTAATTTTTATGGGTTTGAGTGACAAACTCATGTATTTTGAATTTCCATATACTATATTTAATTTAAACATATTAATAAGGTGCACTATATACATCAGTATTAAAATGTATAAATATATGAGTAAATTTAATAAAACTTTTTAAAATGTTATAAACTTTTTTAAAATTTAATAAATATTTTAAAAATTTAATAAACCTTTTTAAAATTTAATTTATTGTTCAGACAGAAAGTGAATTGTTTACAAAAGTTAAATCTCGCTATGGCGCTTTCAATGTTTAAGAAGCCTGCAACACTGTTGTTTACATTTAAAGACATAATTTAATCATACAGTACGACTGACAATAGTAGGAATGACAAATTGAAAATGTGTAGCAGTGATCATAAGAAAATACATACTACACTGTAGGGATGAACTCAAAAAATATATTTCCAATTTTCGGGCGGGATTATATATAATTCAGAATATTTTCATAACGAGATTTGTTTTGAATGTCAACAATTTTATTGTAAGTGACAATGGTGTCCCCGTAATCGCGGGAGATGTCCACAATTTTGAGACCACTGCAAAAGTGTTCATAAATTTTCCACGTTTTTGCCGCCATGGCCCGATGAAAATTATGCAACTGCAAGAGATAATTAGGATCCTCTGGCAACCACGGATAATAGTCATGATGACATAAGAACAGTGTGATAAAGACTAAAAATTGATTTTGTTTGTCATCCATCATTAATAAGATTTAATAAGAAAAGTCTTCTGCCATTCCTGTCTTGAGTGTCAGGAAGGAAATAAAAATCCCGTCCATCCCTACTGCATAGTTATGCATGATAGATAATTAAAGAAAAAAAGACTTGAAGTAAATAAAAATAGTTGCCCTTGTCAGATAATGACAAGGGACCAACAATTTATTTTTATTTTTAACACAATTTTGAATTATAATTCATATCTGAATCTTTAATTTATTTAGGTTTAACTATTTATCTCACGTTACATGAGGGTAATAGTTGCTTCTAAAATCCTGTCAAGTGTCAAGGTTATATTTAGGTAACAAGTTTGGGGACACTTGGTATTTTCGTCTACAGTATCAACACATATTTAGGTTTAAACAGCAAATTATCTTGAATGACATGACACTTAGTTGTCTTCTACGATCTTGTCATGGTTATGTTTAAATGACAAGTTTGGGGATTCCAAGACACATGGTTTTCGTCTACAACAGTCACACTCTCTAAACCTACTCTCACAGACAACATTCAGTTTATTACTGTGTTTCCGACGTACCTGTTGGCGACTCAGTTCTATTGTCCGTATTACAAGGAGTTGGCGTTTCACTCTCACCCTCTGGTACGATCTTTCTCAAGTCTTCTAGGCTGTAGCAGGTTTTGTGCAGCGCCCCCGAGTAGAACTCCAGCCCGATGATGGCGAATATGACGATGGCAAACAACACCAACAACCCGATCTGTAGCAGGGGTGCCATCGCCTTGATGATGGATTTGAGCACAACCTGTAGACCTGACGAAGAACAGAGAGTTAGGTTGTGTGCTGACCAGTGTGTGGCTATGATAAGCGGCAATATTTACATTGGTGAAAGTTATTGATATAAAATAGGTGAATTAGTCTATCGAAGATTTATACTCCTTAGACTGTAATGGTATTCATTCTGATAGCCCTTGGACTACGTATATACAGTATAACTTTTTAGGCTTTATGGCTTTGACGTACATATACACACGACACGGGACATTTAAACATGAAACAACATGATGATAGCGCTATCATGACACGGTGGCAGGTGTAGTTAGACTATAGCGCTATGATCATGTTCTTTTGTGTTTAATTGTTTTGTGTCCTGTGTTGTGTATATGTACTGAATTATATGTAAATTTTGAGATTTTTGACGTTTTGCAAGCTTTGACGATGTTGCATTGCAACAAAACATGTCAGCTTTGAGTAAATGAAGTTAGGACGCTATTTTGGGTTACTAACAGAGGTAGGCCTAAGCCTTTTAGTCTTAAACTGCAAATTCAGGTAAAGAGGTAAGTGTTTGTGAATGTACTAAGGGAACTAGTTTTGAACTTCTATGACTAAATACTTTACTGTTTTCCACTGAACTGTGCTTTCATAAGTAGATATATGATAATATTAAATGGAAATTAAGTAGGCGGTGCATTGTAATTCAAACCCCTAAAGTGTCTAGTTATTCTTGGATTATTTTCATATCAAACAATAAAGCTTAGTAGTAGAATGTTGAAAGCTTTCCAAACAATTAACAATGTAAAAGATAAGAACAAAAAAGTAGGTACTAATACAAAAAAATTCTTGAAATGAAACTAGCACAGTGTAAACAAAAACATTTACCTCGAGCAAAACAAATCAAACATCCACAAAAGAGAAAAGTAAACAACTATTGTACGGGCCACGAGAGTCTGCAGTTGGTGAGTGGCAGCCAATACCAAGACCGAGCTAGCGGGACGTTGCAACATCACCCATTGACTACCACTGCCCCCATTGCTGGCCGTGGTGACAATAATTAAAATATACTAAAATATAGTTTTCAAACCAGCTAGTATAAATGTCCACCGTTGAGACAAGTTTGTCAAACTAAAGTAACTTATTTTCTAAACATATAAAAATCAAAGCCTTCACTCACTCACTGAGTGACTTCCACTAATTCTCCAACTTCCAGACTAGCTAGAAGGCTGAAATTTGTACTGAACTTTATACTGTTATTCAGGTCAAAAATAGGAAAGGTGAATAGTTTTCATAGTGATTTTACAAAAGGGTTTACAAAGGGAGAAGAAACCCTTGAACTTTCAGTGTTATTCTTATCGACATTCTATTTCCGTTCATGTTTATCACACATATGTTTGAAAATAATTTTCTATGTATTTTCTTTACCAGCTGATTGAAAATTTGTTGTGTTTGTTTTGATTGTTTATGTTTATTTCAATTATGAGGTTAACCTGTGTGTTTTAAAACAAGTAACTTCTCAAGTGCTGTGTGCTCTCCTATCACTTCATAACTATTTATAGGCCTAATTGGTGTTCATATCAAGAGAGATGAGAAGTTTTTGATAAGTACAATCCTGTCCATTCCTAGCTAGAGTAATGACAATGCAACAATTGCAGAATGATGTGTATGTTGTTGTAAGATCGGAGTTCAAGTATTGGGCGGATTAAGTTAGCAATTAAAGTAAATTACAAATGCCTTTTTTAAGTTTTTTTGTGTGTCGATAAATGTAGGCCAGGCCTATTTATGATGTAATAATTTCTTTTAATGAAAGTTTTAGAAAAGCCAATTTTGTGTACATTCACGCACATTAAAACGTGATTGGTGAAAACTGAAAACATTGTATATACTGTAGATCTGTAACTGTTTAGGGCCTTTGAGAACCACAATAAAACATCGTGCAAGGTCTTATATTACTTAATGTTATTTTAAGATACTTTACATAACTTTAAACTGAAGCTATGGGTGAACTGACAGCACTATTGGAAAATTAGGTCTAAGCATGTACACCTAACTGAAAAGAGTTACAGCGGGGGTAGTATCCTGGCCAAAAACATATTTTGTAGGTGAATTGGTTTCAGGAGTGAGTTGTCCAAAGTTCTTGATGGAAGGGCAGTTAATGTTGTATATGAAGAAGATTTCCCTTAGTTTTAACTTTGTTAGTCATACATGCTAAATTAACTGATTATATATAAATGGATTCAGGCCTAATATGTTTTATTATTAATTTGTTGGCCAATCTGATTAAACGATTAACTTTATTTATTTTAAATTTTTGTGAACAAAGTCACGGCGGGCTTGCTAGTAATCACTTACAGAACTAACTTTGAAGTCACACAGTGAATAGGTTTCTCCCTCAACTACAGACTGTTGTGGCCCATACAATAATGTTATTTTAACTTAACTTTGTATGTAGTGTGTTATTTACAGTGGAGATATACAAAAAGTCAAACAATTTATACAATATACAGCACAGGGCATAAAATAACATGTTAACTGGGCAACGAAAGTGTCGCCCAGTGCTGAGATTTTGTCGCCCAATGGCTATGGATGGTACCGGCATATTTTTTTTTAAACAATTTAAATTTTAAATCTATCTGAATCTTAAAAACAACATTATGTAAATATTTTAGAGTATTGAGCTACGATTTTGGCCCAAGAGGTTGTGAATGAAGCCTTGGCCTGTTACAACATTTTAGGATAAGTAATTAAGTGAGATTATATGGACTATTTACAAGCAAATATAATCAAAAAATTCATTAAAAGATACGTAGAAATGTGTGATTTTCACTTTAATTTATGCAAAAATTTCCGGGGTGGAACCCCCGGAACCTCCTTTTTGATGGGGGGTTCCGGCACCACTGTCAGGGAGTGGAAGTCCCTTAAAATATGCTCTGGTACAGCAAATGTTATAATTTCTAAGATTGAACAAATAGTGTGCATAATTAAACTAAAAGTTTATTTTTGTTTTTTTTCCGAATGAGAAATTTGAAAAAAATGCTAATAGGAGTAATAGATGTTTTAAAAATATTAAAGGCGAATATTTCCAATAACAACCTGATCTAAATTTAATGTTTATTCAGATTCTGAATTATCTACAGCCATATTTACATTCATAAAAATAAGAATAAACCAGAAAAAGAGTCAATGATCTGAATTTGAATTTGAAATGTTTTACCGCAACCTCTATTTTCAAATATAGTTTTCAAACTACTGAATTAAGCCTTTTATTGTTTGATTTTTCTGACAAAAAACTAAGATATGAAAGTAAATTTATTCTCTAGCAACATTCTTTCCTAAATATAAGTATTTATGATCAAAATTGGTTTGGATGTGTAATCGTTCTAACTTCAAAGCCTCTTCAATCCCAAACAAATCATACAAAAGTAATCTTTACAGGAAATCTGTATCAGCTTTTACTACTATGCATCTTAGCTTTTGTGTTTTTTCTACATACAAAGTCAGTAGGATGAAAACTACAGCAGTACAACTAGCATGTTTTATGGTGGGTAAATGAACTAAGCATATACAATCTATGTTTAATATTAAACTTTACGCTTCACTAATGTCCCTAAACCTATTCGTTGATTGTAGTGAAACTTAACTCGGCTTGAAAATAATCATAACATTGAATAACAATGATTTTGATTTTCCAAGAATTTAAATCTTATAAACATATTTTAAATGTACAAAAGGTAGGGAAATTTATATTGACTTCCGTTATTACCTGAACATATACTTTCATTTTTCTGCTAGCTAAACACTACGGAATGTTTTGAACTACTTACTTGGAATACCAGAGACCAGTTTGAGAGGCCTGAGCACTCGAATAGCCCTCAAAGTGCGCAGATCCATATCTAATTTTGTGAAATCCGTAAAGACTATTGTGACGAACCTGTGGAATATGACGCTATCACTACCCACACAGCTAAACTAGTCTACGCTATCACTAGTATCCCAAATGTTAACAACACTTTCAGAAGAGGAAAAGATCTAACAATCTCCTCAAACAGGAAATTTAAGAAGGACGGCCGGAAATTTTTTGGTGTGGAAACTGTAAAGGAATCTACCCATTTTAAAATATCCTTTTCAAACTCGATGACTCATAATATATTAACTTTCTTTTTTCACAGTGTTCTTTATTCACCTTTGCATTTTGTACAGACTTGGAGTTTATGTGTTATATAATACCATTAAGTTAAATGCATTGTTTAAAAAAAGTATGAAAGCTTCGTTTCACATTTGGGACGATAAAGACTACACAATCAAAACATTTATAACTATTCTAACTCAATTTGCACACACAAATTTGTATAAATATATTCTCTAAAACTATAACTACAATCTATATACTACAGTCATCTGCTATAGTATATCTAAACTCCACAGGAAACGAACAATAAGTAACACATCTGAAAACAACAAAGAGCCACACATCTATCTAACAACGAAGTAGATAAACAGCATGAAAGTTCAAGTTTTGTCAATTGGAAATGTAAAGTAGATTCCAATTGAAAATCACAGCCCATGAACGCAAGTTGCAACTGACAGTAATTAACCGAGTTTTATGAAACTCTAAAATTGAAGAACAACTGTAAAAGTATAACAATGTCCTAATCTTACTAATTATTTTACTACTGAAAACCATCACGATCAAGATGTTTTCTCCAAACAACATTTAAAATTCTGAAAACTAACTAAGAATTCACGTAACTAATTCTACAAAGATAACAAGGGGATGTAGTGTTCTCATATAGCCTAGTCAGTAAAATTACACATAAAAGCTGATTAGGGACAGTGCAACAAACAGATCTAGCCCTATGTGGACGAGACTATAACCTAGACTAGGGATCCGAACAAAACGGCTGTGTGGCACATCTTACTTGGTATCCTTGACACCAGTTTCAAAGGCCTCAACACGCGGAATGATCTCAACATCCTTAGGTCGACATCCACATTCGACTCAGCGAATATGGTCATAGACCTAAAACACCGCGTTAAGACTTGATGTTGACAAACCAAACGTAAAAATAGTTTAGATAGTTGGTATTACCTGTTACAATCAATACAAACAACATTGAAACAAAGTTAAAGTTACTTACCCTGTTACTACAACGAAAAAATCCATGATGTTCCAAATGTTACGAAGGTATGAGCCGCGATGAAGTACAAAACCTAATGCTAAGATTTTAAGGGATGCTTCTACACAAAAAATGCCGAGGAAATAAGTCTCCGTTTGTTCCTGAAACAGAAATAACACTTTGTCAGTCTCATGTTCAATTATAAGAATAGTTAGACTAATTCACATAAAGTTCTCTTTAATGGTAATTAAACCGGATACAATTCTGAATATTAGGTAGTTTTTAAATAGGCTAAGTCTTTTTCTGGTAGGTCTAGTATTATTTTTCAGACCTTCGTTACCAGATCACTACTCCACTACTGTACTCTGAATTCTGAAATAGACATTACGAAGCCAATGAGAAAATTGTCGCCGCTTTTTGTAAATAGAATGCGTACAGAGTCCAAAAAGGTCGCTAACCCGAAGAAATAAGGACTGATTCTTGCTTGGATTACATAGAATTTGGGTTAGGTGGAATTTTGTCCAAAAGACATTTAAATGTTGACTGATATTGAAAATTTTTGTGTGTTGAGCATATTAGTTGTAATGCGAGAAATTTTATAATCTCGCTTATTGCAGTTTCAACTGAACTGAAGTGACTAAGAGGAGGAATTGACGGGCAGTATGTGAATTGATACATTATTCCCTCCTTGAACCACACTGGGCAGATTGTCAGATTTAGTGGGATGGATGAGCAGATTTTGACTGATCTCACAAGTAAGTTACCACTAATTAGGATTACTCTTCTCTAAATTATCTCTTTTGAACAGCACAATTCAGGTTTGAGACCTAATTCTGTTCAATTGGTAACGTTGTTCTCCATAAAAAATTTTCTGAACTTGTATTTACGATATGTTAATTTTAGTAATCACACAATTGAAGGTACTGACCAGTTTCTTTGCTAGCGGGGTCTTGTCGTTCTGTGGCAGATGTTCTTCCAGGGCCAGGACCACACAGTTGGCGATGATGGTGAGCAGGACTGCATACTCGAACGGAGTGCCACGCGGTTAAGGAAAAATGTTAAAGTGAAAGTAAAACTATTTTAGCACTCAAATTTACATAATAGTATTAACCTAAAGATCCTGTTGCAGAAACTAAATCTCAAAACCAACATCGTACAAGTAAAAACAATATGTGCATTAAGTTATAGACTTGACACATGAAATTAAATTCTGAATGTACTATAATCTCAAGTATATTAGAAAAGTAACACCTAGATGGGAACCCTCTCACTAGCTGAACCTTATCATGAACTCACTGTAGGTAGGCCTACCCTTTAATTGGCACAATTATTGAAATAATTTATTATTTCAATTAGGGTACTAAACCCTTAAGTACCCGTAGCTTAGATCCTGTATATCCAATAGTTGAAGACAATTGACTCAATTAAAAACTAATTCTCAGTTTTAATGCCAAACATTTTAGCTAAGTGATACCTTGCCATCTTAGTTTAATTGCTGGTAGTTCGAGAGTTGCCGACTCTGTTGGATAAATAAATTAAGAAAAACAATTATTTCTTACTGATATAGCCGACTTGTTAAAAAAAAACTTAAATATATGCCTTTTTTTAAGTAGGTACCAGTAACCTATGTATAAGCTCAAAGAAATCGAGAATTTTTAGAGTATGCCCTAAATGACTTTTTGGATTTTAAGTTATTGCAAAAATAAACACGTTTGAAAAGTTTCTGATAGTATAGTTTTAACTTGGTCATCTATTTGAGACGCTAACTCTAAGTGATAGATGTTCAGCTCTATATGATGAACAACGAAGGTTAGAAGCCCAGAGAAGGTAGAGAGGAAACATTTAACTTAAAAATGGTGTCCAGCACTAGTTGCTGGTGTCTAGAGTAAACTCTGAAACCAACACTTTTCCTAACCCCCCTAGCCATTATGTATTACTACACTCACGCTATAGGTGATCTAGGAACATTCACACAGTGATCACCGCTCGGCTCTTCCATGCTCACCACAAATATATTACCGTAGCGCTGTACGTGCACACACAACATTAGAGGTAAAGGCGCACGGTTGTCCCATAAGCAAGTTTCCTCAGAACCTTACTTCTCTGTGTTGGCAGTTAGCAAATAGGGTGTTACGTTGCTTGCCTGTAGGTTAACATCTTGGGCTATAATGCGAGAGGAACGGGTTAGAATCCTGCAAAAGTTTGAGGGGTTTGGACAGCTTCCCCTTAAACAATTTTGGTCACTGAGATGGATGTTAACAGAAATTGATGTGAGAGAGCTGTTCACCGAACAAGGCTGTTTTAGAGCCTACTTTTACAACAAGGGAAAGTCAGCCTTGAATGTCAGTAACTTACGGTGAATTTGAATACCGTATGTACAGAATACCTTTTTCCATTGTGTAAGGTGAGGAGGGACCTCAAAAAGGTTATTAGCCCAACTTGTTCAAAAAGGTTATTGGACATACGTTCATCTGATGTTGTCCTGTTTCAAATTTTGGAAAACTCTTTCTGCATTCTCCAGGAGAGTACTAAAAATGGAGAGGACAAAAACACTAAATGCACCAGTTCATTATAACCCAGTGGAACATCACATCCAAATTGCTATCTCTGGTGTACAAAGAGGCCCTCTGAGAGGGTTTTGCATTGCCTGGACCGATAGGTTTTTAAATGGGATAAGTTAGAGTTTCAAACGTGAGGGTAAAATAACTTACGCCTTAGACCCTGAGAGTGCATTAGGTTTATAGTGCATTTTCCGGCTGCACTTTACTTTACGTCCTACACTCATTGGAATAAAAATATCGATCGATATATCGATTATTCGGTAAGTTATATCGTTTGGTTAGTTAGGTAAGGTTAACCTAACCTAACTAACCAAACGATATATCGAATGAAACAATCGAATAACCGATATTTTCATTCGAATGAGTGTAGGACGTAAAGTAAAGTGCAGCCCATTTTCCTATTGTAAGAAAAAATCAAGTTTGTCAAGTTCTTAAAATGACTTACTGGTAAGTTACCCCTAGTTGGTCATTAAGTTAAAATCATTTATAGGTTTGGCGTCCTAAATTAGGCTATAGCCTGATAAATGTCTACTTGAAACATTACGGTAGCCTTTAAACAATTTTTTTAAGCTTTAAAAGTTCATTTATAAGTAAGTTACTAGGTGTTATTTAAAGTCATGGTAATTATAGCATTTTTGCTGAAACTTATTTGCGCTTTGAGCAGCAGATCAACAACTAGGCTAGCCTAATTGTTTGCAATACATTCTTTAGAGGTTAGGTTAAATTATGAATGGTTAGGTAATAAAAGTTACCATTGTAAATTCATCACAGAAACATTAGTCTTAGCCTTATAATTTCATTAAGCAGATCATACATACAATTTATCTCTGAGGTAGGCTATGATAATATTATAATACCTTACCTATCGTAAGATTGTTTTTTTTTACACAAACAACTGGTCCACAATAAAATAAATATCACTTTTTCAACTAGGCCTAGACAAAACATATGTAAAACAATATCCTACTTGCTAAAACCAATTTGTTTCCTTCTACAATCCCAATCTTTTTATCTTGTCAATTGTATTAAAGATATTAAGTTTTAACGTGGTTTTTATAGTAATTAATAATATAAGAAAACAAAACACATAGGCCTAGTAAACAGTAAACTGTAAACAAACACCATTCGTTGCACCGGCACTCTAGTCCTACCTAGTCTCTAGATTATTTGAATTATCGAAATTAAACGTCAAAAACATATGTCTGTCTGTAACCTGTGTTTTTTCCAAACAGCATTCTTATTCTCATAAGGATTTTTTTTGTATCTATCATAGACTTTAAGCATAGTATCAAAGATCAAAGAGTAAAGAGTAGATAGCGTATACTATCAATAAAACTATAAGAATAAAATTAGTACCTAAGCAACTTTTGGGTTGTCACGCAGCTTTTAATCCCTTATCATCTAGTTCTAGGTTTGACATTAAACCATTACACCGTACCATTGTAAGCTCGATTAGTATAAATGCAAGCAATAGTTATATCATAGATAAAACCATAGACTAACCGATAAAACATACTCCCTTAGTAGATTAATTTGTCATCGTTATCCTTAACGCTGAGGACAATTACTTGTAACTTTATTATATTTTTAATCTATATTTGATCACGATCTGTCTATTTTCATTAGACTCCCATATTCCACCCGTGAAAAAAAATCTTAAGTCATAGTGACGTCAGCTCTGCTCTGGGGAAAAATGCCAGGGGGATAAAATTCTGGTGACCCAATCTTGCAGTTAGTTATAGTACAATAATCGTTTGTATACGACAATTATACATTACACACCCTATGCTCTTTTAGAGATGTTTTAGCTTTTAGATGCTATGGACTTATATCTAAAATGTCGAGGTGCTGTTAGCTGGGCTCAGATATTATGTTAAATAATCTTATTTAGTAGCTTTTGGTCTAACATAGGTGTATTTATGTACTGTATCTAAAATATTAAAGCTAAGTTTTTACCATAGTTTCCGAACTTAAACCGTCTCTAGTGTCACGATGTCAGCTAAACTTAGGTGCTCGAGAGGATGTGAGTTTTCAACTTTGTTAAAAAATATTATTTAAAGGGGTTAAGCTTTATTGAATTGGGACTCTGTAAACACCTGCACTTTCAGTGATTATTCAAGAATCGAGAAATATTAATTTATAATGCGATTGCTTATTAATATCCATTCAAAATGTGTGACCGACGATTATGCAAACATTGTAATTGTTTAAGCAATATGATCGCAGTTAGTTGTATTTGTAGACTCTTCTAATACTATCTAACTCCCCTCAACTCTGTAATAATCCCAAAACTGAAACCATACGCAGAAACTAAATAACTAATATCTAAGCTAATGCCTAAGCTAAAAAAAAAAAAACATATTTTAACTACTTTGAAATTGGTTGTGGTTATTGTGTATAAATGGCTATATACTCTTCTCCTTTGCGTTACGAATATTCAAGTAGAATAGAATACAGTATAATCAAACCTACAACTAAAACATGACTCAACTAGACGATACACATTATACAACCAATTTACAACATACATAGTCATACATGAATGTTTTTACACAACTTGGTCAATGCATTGTTTTGTATTGATGCAATAAGCACACTAGCCACTGATTTAAGGCTAATTTTATTCCCTGAAAAATAAAATGTCAAAATATTTTATGCCCTTCTAAATAGAATTCTGAAATTATATTTATGCACCAAACCGGTAATTTGGAATCCCCGCGATGAGTTGTTGAAGCTGAATTACTTTAGAAATAGTACCCTGGCTAGTAATTAAAATATAGAATTTATGTGTATTGTATCCGATGTCAACGGTTTTCAGTATTAGAACTATATAATTTTATTGCACAATCATCTCTTCTTTCTGAATTAAAAAATAAAGTGTTGTTATAAAATACATGTAAATAATCCCAGCTCACAGTCTTAGTGCAGTAGAGGTAAAACATCTCCTATAGGTCGGTTCAGAAAACTTGCCTTAAAATACCTCCACTCACGCAATGCCTGTTAGCACCCGAGTAAGTTGAATTATATTTAATGGTCAAAGATGTATGCTAATTATTTAAGCAATCCAGTGGTATAAAGATGACTCATTGTTTCACTCAAGTCATTTATATTCCAAACGACAAATATTATAGAACACATGTTGAGATTCTTCACTGATTTTTTTCTGTCAGATAATTTATTAAAGTACGGTCCACGAGAGTCTGCAGTTGAGGGAGGAGCCTATTTACCACGTGACTTCGAAGGGGCCATAGTGCGGTGTTGCCGCTGATATGAAAATATTGTTTATATTTGTTTATTGTAGTAAACGGTCGATGTTTCAACATCGCGCTAGTCCAGTCTTGGTATAATCTGCAGCCAACTGCAAACTCTCGTGGTCCCTAGTGTAAACCACAATGGGATCGTAAATACTTTGTGATGCAAATAATCACAACACAACTTTACATTCTCTAGACTAAACAATTTTCAGATTTTGGATGATTACCCTACGGTTTTGTGCATTAAAGGATATGGCCACTCGATGATGAATCTGGTGTATCGGCGTAGGGGGTTGTCCTCGCTGAGCAGGAAGAGCGAGGAGGGGCCCTTTGCGGGCTGGTTGGGGCCCCCTGGCTGGCCCATGGCGGTGGGGGACCAGTCACGACCAGCCCGCTGTTGCGCTGCCGCCTCCTGTGCTGCCGCCAACCTGCAAACACAAAATCATAAAATTCTCAGAATTACCTTTATATGGATGGAATCATAAATTTTATTTCCATGTTAAAGTTGAGCCTGTTTCACTGAGTATTATTACAAATTGACGGAAGTTTGACTGGACTACCAACGCTGGTTGATTATTGATTTTTTTTAATACGCCGACATTAAGGAATAACTCCTGGTTAACACAAAATAACTATGTTACATACTTTATAATGCATGGAACTAGATACTGTATTTCATTCTCATCAGTAACCAATTTTAGAATAATATATTCACGTTGAATTGAATGAACTAAGAAGTGCGCTGATGTCAGTAAGTGAATCTGGGCAAATGCGCATCGTAAACTATAGAATCTTTGATGTCACATAAAATATCACAGTGACATAAACACACTGCAGGAAAGTGTCAAATTTTGGCAGATGTGCACTCTAAAAGTGGCTTATTCTACTGAATTCTATTTGAATTAAAAGTGGCTGTAGCTGATCCCTGTACGAATTGGATGTACTATGGGATGTCTTTTCCAGTATCCGAAGATTCAGTGGTAGGTACTATAACCACCTCGAAGATCCATTCACACGAATATCAATACGTTCTGGTTGGATATTTTGCATTGCTCCACATATATATTAATTGTATTTTTCAAGTTCAATGAACCATTAGTGTCAGTAAACAGGAAAAGACAAATTGTGTCAAAATTATAAAATAAAAGCTAGGAACTTCACTAAAAATCTTACAACGGCGTACTTCTAGCGTGATTACTTGATTGTATGGAAACAATATGAGGCTGCCGGCGCTGTCATGAAAGCCTCGTTGTTCATTATGAGAAACAATGGTCTTTCCAGTAACGTAACGAATTCTGACCGAATCTCCTTCAAAATTTACCCTTAGGTCCCTTTTTAGAAACGGTCGGAAGTAGGTATACCCAGAGAACGAATGAACAATGATAAATTAGTCAATGAAATGTGTATAATCACTCTTATTACAAAACGTGGTGTTCACGATTCTCTGTCAGTGTAACTCTGACAGAAAAAATATTGGGTAGATAAATATACTCTAGAGTTTGTTGAAGATGTTTAAATACCCTGGTTTCTTATGCAAATCCTTACGAAACACATCCAGGGCCACATGTTATGCTATGTTGTGTTGGATATTTATGTAGGTACAGTATAACTGTTGTTATACTTAGGAACTGACAGTTATTTGTTGTCTTCAGTTATTTGTTGTTGTTACACATTACTACCAGTGTTGCAGTTAGCCACTGTTGTTACAGTTACGAGGTCACTTTAGTTAAGAGCTGTTGCTTCAATTAAGTTAGGTTTCGTTAAGTGCTGTTGATTCAGTTATTTTTTACTCATTGGCGTGCCTATGTTACAGCACAGAAAACGTACTAGTAGTACGTTTTCTGTGGTTACAGTCGTTATTTTTTCTTGTTACACACTGGCGTGCTTGTGTTGCAGTTACTCGCTGTTGTTACACTCTGGCGTGCAATGCAGGGTGTAATGTGAGGGTTGGTGACCCGGTTAGGTCTATTTCTGGACCACAATCAATGACTGGACATTTGCTAGACTGACCTCCCTTTGTAAAGTAAATCCATATCGAGGTCACCATCTCGTTTAGGAATCATCCTCTGGGTCAGTTACATCCAGATAAAGTGTTTGTTCTATTTACTAAATTCAGTTGTGCTACTTACTTTCAGCGTTTTCAGTCCAGAAGCGAGTTGTAAGAGGATATTTTGTTACATCACAGAGAAGGGATCTTTTCTAGGGGTTACGTTTTGGTCAAGGTACAGAGACGCAATAGAAAAAGAGTAATGAATACAAATTAATTTAAATTGTGGGTCAACATTATAAAGTCTGCTTGAATGAGCATCTTTGATGTTTAAAAACAATTAGGAGTGACACCTACCCCAGTTCCTGTTTACACGAGCCTGTAATAATACAAAAGGACCTCGACATGTAGGGGTTTTATATAAGATAAAACTATAGGATACTAGCAGAGTACCTGTCCTTCGTACAGGGTTGGCGTATAAGTTTGAAATGTTTATTGCAGGTTATCCTACTCGTGCTTTGCGTTTGCAATGGGAGAGGATACGATTTAAGAAAAATTGGTCTTTTTAATATACGGCATGCTATAGCAAAGCACATCTACCATAGCCATAATTTTCTACCACTGCACCTAAACAATGAAAGTAAAATTCTAATTTTTCACAGCTTTGTGTTGCTAGTTAGATCAAAAACCCCAAAACCACTGGGGCGGAGCCCAGGATTTTTGAGATTTTTGAGCCCAGGGCGGATTTTTGAGATAATAATGCGTCTATATGTTAATAGGGAATGTGAGCTATCATCACACCAAATTTAAACCCAATCCGACCAGTATTTTTCACGTTTACTTGTTACAAGCATCCATTCATCCATTTATCCAAACTTTCTTTTTATTATAATATTAGTAGAATAAACTAATATGACCATGGGGCATGTTGCTGGAAATTGGTCGATGAGAATTTAAGTAATAAAACATTTGAGATCTTTAAGAATTCAAAATAAGCTAGGTATGCAATATGAGAATGCTATTAGAATACGCTATACTTTTTCAAATGGTTGTTTTAAAAGTAAAAAAAACCACACCTGTTGTAGTAATAGTATACTAGTGTCCCTGTTGCTCGAAATCGAGCAATTGCTAAGTATTACAGGCGTTATTTTAAACGAATAACTGTCATAATTTTTGAACACTTTAAAAGATTTGTCTCAAAGATTATGGAATACTCAAGATTTAGGCTACATAACAGATCGATATAATCAACATTCTTCTAAATATCTTATCATTTTTCAAAAGCTGATCTTGTTTTTTAGAATTTTCTACAAATAGCCTTACTCAAAGCCATATTAACTTAGGTTGTCCATAGTAACGATTATAAATATATATATATATATATAAAAAAAAACACATTGTTTCTATTTCTTCTCCTTGGTGGTGTTCTATGACTTTCTTATGTTTCCATAGTTTGTAAATCGGCTCTATCATTGATAACTAAGAAATGCAGCACAGTGTCAATTCATTTTTCTTTTTAGTATATCAATCTATCCAGGCTCTCTCACTTTTTCCATTGTAATATTTACGCCAACCCAAATTCAAATAGTAAATATTTAATTTCAACTTTCAACCAAGTCAACAAATGTTTGTAGCTAACTGTTAAATTAGCAAACTTATTGACTGTTTAAAATTAACATATGTTCTTCTTCTCACTTTTAATTTCTGACAAAATCTGGAGTTTCATAACAATATTTGTTTCCCATGTTAATCTTATGGAGAAATACGAAACTTTAAAGATCCCCAGGGCCTCACCCTCTAATTATTTCGCTAAAAAGAAAGTTTCCTGCACATCTTCATGTTACCCTCTTTCCAATGACACCAAAAACATGTCAATTGGTTCGGTAGTTTCGGAGGCGTAATTGTCACAAAAAACCTGCTTGCGTATTAAATAAGTATAGATTTCATAATAAGAGCAGAAAGTGAGTCATTATAAGTGAATATGTTATAAACCCACTTTCACTCATGTTTTGATCGTTACTTTTCGCTTCACTAGAAAGATAGTTCTTAATTAAAACCGAAATTGGACATTTTCTATTACAGTTAGGAGCATTGCAAAACTCGTGGCATTTTTTAGGTCACGCCTTCTTTTTAAAGTTAATGTGTACATTGATTGTACAATTTTGGTTGTTGCAAATTGAAACAGTCGACTAAACAATAACAAATCTTTGTTTGTTTACATCGGCAAAATAAAAAAAAGAAAGTAAAAATTTCTTTCGCATAATAAACATTCTTTTCCGTTGTAAACAATGTATGTAATTGTGAATTTTCGCAGGTGATAAACATGTAACGAAAACAGATAATTTCACAATAGTATGGCGAAAATGTAAGTTTTCATCATATTTGGTTTTTTATGTTTGAGAACCTTGAATTGTAATAGCTCTTATTTTAATCTGTGCAATATATAAACACCTACGTTTAATACAATGCTAATTTTAATACGTCCATGACAATCAGAACGATACACGAATCCAACATATAAATTCCGAGTAGTTTTTTACTCAATTTCAGGCCGATGATTGATGGATGAATGGTTAGCATCGTTCTTTAAAATTGTGTATATCTAACTAAAATATTTTTATATAAATATCTTGTAAATTGTTGTTGTAAAGCTATGGAATTCTTTTCAAACATGACGCAACGACTTTAACTTAATGTTTTATTAATGTACACCAATGAATACAGTTACATGCAACAAGCTCGGATACAACTAAACAAGTAAAAAAATCGTCAACACAAATGTTGCAACAGTAAAACGAATGGTCCAAAAGAAAACACCACTTTACCTTCCACGGATCCATGAATAAAACACCGATTTGCGAGTTAAATCCATCAAACTTGACACACACTGCAAATCACTTGGTGGAGTTCAAATCAAATCACCCCTAACCTCAAACAATATCGCTCCGTTATGCTGGATACACCTGTTGATCCGTAGTCCGGAACAACAAAACAACCGTAACTGACTGAGCGGAGGGAGGGACCGTGAAAGGGAAGAAACAAAACATGGGCAGAGCCCTAAGTGACCTTGAGAAGGTCGTCACTCCCCTCTCGGGAGGGTGATTTCGAAAAAGGACACTAGGGTGGTGGCAAGTTTTATGGCAGATTTGCTGAGGAGAGTAGGGACTGGGGCAGTGTGTCGGTATTGTAGGGTGCCGTATTACAATTGGTACAATGTCAAGCTGATGGTTTGTCGATCGGTTGAATAACAGTTAGTTTTGCAGTTAGTTATACTACAAATTAATAATTGTCGGGTAGCTAATTAATATTCGCCTGGTAATCAGATGGTTTGTCGCTTCGATTGTAGAAAATTCAAAGTCTTTTTAAAGGTTCAAAACTGCAGCCAACTGTTCTCCTGACTTCACTAGCAGCCATACTAAAAGATCTTATAATATAAATAGT